GTGTATTTGAACATGGGCCATCTGAATATGCAACAATATTGGGGTCGTTGGATGCTTTCCCCTACGCCTATAGGGATCCGTGCGCTTCCTTAGCATTTGTGTGCAGGCACGGCCGTCGTCGCGGGCGCCGAACTTTTCTGTGCGCACGAACCAAGCTGAAGTTGCTCTGGTAGGTGTGTCTGAACATGGGCCATCCGAATATGCAACAATATTCGGGTCCTTGGATGCTTTTCCTTACGCCTATAGGGATCCGTGCGCTTCCTTAGCATTTGTGTGCAGGCACGGCCGTCGTCGCGGGCGCCGAACTTTTCTGTGCGCGCGAACCAAGCTGAAGTTGCTCTGGTAGGTGTATTTGAACATGGGCCACCCGAATATGCAACAATATTCGGGTCATTGGATGCTTTTCCCTACGCCTATAGGGATCCGTGCGCTTCCTTAGCATTTGTGTGCAGGCACGGCCGTCGTCGCGGGCGCCGAACTTTTCTGTGCGCGCGAACCAAGCTGAAGTTGCTCTGGTAGGTGTATTTGAACATGGGCCACCCGAATATGCAACACTATTCGAGTCGTTGGATGCTTTTCCCTACGGCTATAGGGATCCATGCGCTTCCTTAGCTTTTGTCGGTAGGCACGGCCGTCATCGCGGGCGCCGAACTTTTCTGTGCCCGCGAACCAAGCTGACGTTGCTCTAGAATGTGTATTTGAGCAAGGGCCACCTGAATATTCAACAATATTTGGGTCATTGGATGCTTTTCCTTACGCCCATGGGGATCCAAGCGCTTCCTCAGCATTTGTGGGCAGGCACGGCCGTCATCGCGAGCGCCGAACTATTCTGTGCGCGGGAACCAATCTGAAGTTGCTCTGGTAGGTGTATTTGAACATGGGCCACCCGAATATGCAACAACATTCGGGTCGTTCGATGCTTTTCCCGACGCTTATAAGAATCTATGCGCTTCCTTAGCATTTGTGGGTAGGTACGGCCGTCGTCGCGGGCGTCGAACTTTTCTGTGCGCACGAATCAAGCTGAAGTGTCTCTGGTATGTGTATTTGAACATGGGCCACACGAATATGCAATATTCGGGTCGTTAGATGCTTTTCCCCTATGCCTATAGGAATCCATGCGTATTTTTAGCATTTCTGGGCAAGCACGACCGTCATCGCGGGCGCCGAACTTTTATTTGCGCGTGAACCAAGCTGAAGTTGCTCTTGTTAGGTGTATTTGAACATGGGCCACCCGAATATCCAACAACATTAGGGTCGTTGGATGCTGTTCCCTACGCCTATAGGGAACTATGCGCTTCCTAAGTATTTGTGGGCAGGCATGGCCGTCATCGCGGGCGCCGAACTTTTCTGTGCGCACGAATCAAGCTGAAGTTGCTCTGGAAGGTGTATTTGAACATGGGCCACCCAAATATGTTACAATATTCAGGTTGTTGGATGCTTTTCCCTACGCCTATAGATCCATGCGCGTCCTTACCATTTGTCGGCAGGTTATCGCGGGCGCCGAACTTTTTTGTGCGTGCGAACCAAGCTAAAATTGCTCTGATAGGTGTATTTGAACAAGGGCCACCCGTAAATGCTACAATAATCGGATCGTTGGATGTTTTTCCCTAGGGCTATATGGATCAATGCGCTTCCTTAGCATTTGTGGGCAGGCACAGCCGTCGTCGGGGGCGCCGAACTTTTGTGTGCGTGCGAACCAAGCTGAAGTTGTTCTGGAAGGTAAATCTGAACATGGGCCACCCGAATATGCAACAATTTTCGGGTCGTTGGATGCCTTTCCTTACACCTATAGGGATCTATGCGCTTCCTTGGCATTTGTCGGCAGGCACGGCTGTCGTCGCGGACGCCGAACTTTTCTGTGCGTGCGTACCAATCTGAAGTTGCTCTGATAGGTGTATTTGAACATGGGCCACCCGAATATGCAACAACAATCGGGTCGTTCGATGTTTTTCCCTACGCCTATAGGGATCCATGCGCTACCTTAGCATTTGTGGGCAGGCACGGCCGTCATCGTGGGCGCCGAACTTTTCTGTGCACACAAACCAAACTGAAGTTGCTCTAGAATGTATATTTGAACATGGGCCACCCAAAAATGCAACAATATTCGGGTCGTTGGATGCTTTTCCCTACGCCTATTGGGATCCATGCGCTTCCTTAGCATTTATCGTCGCGGGCGCCGAACTTTTTTGTGCGCGCGAACCAAGCTGAAGTTGCTCTGGAAGGTGTATAAGAACCACGCAAATGTGCAGATCCTTCCGCGTTTTGGGGGTGGAAGCGCTCGTTCTGAGCGTTTTTCTTCCGCTAGGTCACGTGACTGCGCTTGTCTGGTTCTATTACCAAGCCAGCAAGGGCATGGGAGGGTTGCGAGCATCATCGGTCATCGACGCTCGCGAATGAAGAGCGCCCGCTGCACTTCCTGCACATGTGCGGATACTTCCGCGTTTTAGGGCTGGAAGCGCTCGTTCCGAGCGTTTTACTTCCGCTGCGTCACGTGGCTGCGTTTGTCTCGGCCTATTACCAAGCCAGCAGGGCATTGGACGGTTGCGAGCATCATCAGTCATCGGCACTCGCGAATGGAGAGCGCCCGCTGCATTTCCTGCTCACGTGCGGATCCTTCCGCGTTTTGGGGGTGAAAGCGCGCGTTCTGGGCGTTTTTCTTCCGCCGGGACACGTGGATGCGCTTGTATGGGCCTATTACCAAGTCAGAAAGGGCGCGGGTGGGTTGCGAGCATCATCGGTCATCGGCGCTCGCGAATGAAGTGCGCCCGCTGCACTTCCTGCACATGTGCGGATCCTTCTGCGTTTTAAGGCTGAAAGCGCTCGTTCCGAGCGTTTTTCTTCCGCTGAGACACGTGGCTGCATTTGTTTGGGCCTATTACCAAGTCAAAAAGGGCGCGGGTGGGTTGCAAGCATCATCGGTCATCGGCGCTCGTGAATGAAGAGCGCCCGCTGCACTTCCTGCACATGTGCGGATCCGCGTTTTGGGGGTGGAAGCGCTCGTTCCGAGCGTTTTTCTTCAGCCGGGTCACGTGGCTGTGCTTGGCTGGTCCTATTACCAAGCCAGCAAGGGCGTGGGAGGGTTGCGAGCATCATCGGTCATCGGTGTTCGCGAATGAAGAGTGCCCGCTGCACTTCCTGCACATGTGCGGATCCTTCCGCGTTTTGGGGGTGGAAGCGCTCGTTCCGAGCGTTTTTCTTTTGCCAGGTCACGTGGTTGCGCTTGTCTGGCCCTAATACCAAGCCAGCAAGGGCGTGGGAGGGTTGCAAGCATCATCGGTCATCGACGTTCGCGAATGAAGAGAGTCCGCTGCACTTCCTGCAAATGTGCTGATCCTTCCGCGTTTTGGGGGTGGAAGCGCTCGTCCTGAGCGTTTTTCTTCCGCCAGGTCACATGGCTGCGGTTATCTAATCCTATTACCAAGTCAGCAAGGGCGTAGGAGGGTTGCGAGCATCATCGGTTATCGGCGCTCGCGAATGAAGAGCGCCCGTTGCACTTCCTGCACAAGTGCGAATCGTTCCGTGTTTTGGGGCTGGAAGCACTTGTTCTGTGCGTTTTTCTCCCGCTGAGTCACATGGCTGCGCTTTTCTGGGCCTATTACCAAGCCAGCAAGGGCGTGGGAGAGTTGCGAGCATCATCGGTCATCGGCGCTCGCGAATGGAGTGCGCCCGCTGCACTTCTTGCACATGTGCGGATCCATCCACGTTTTAGGGCTAAAAGCGCTCGTTCCGAGTGTTTTTCTTCCGCCGGGTCACGTGGCTCCGTTTGTCTGGGCCTATTACCAAGCCAGCAAGGGCGTTGAATGGTTGCGAGCATCATCGGTCATCGGCACTCGCGAATGGAGAGCGCCCGCTGCATTTCCTGCACATGTGCGGATCCTTCCGCGTTTTGGGGGTGGAAGCGCTCGTTCTGAGCGTTTTTCTTCCGCCCGGTCACGTGGATGCGCTTGTTTGGGCCTATTACCAAGTCAGAAAGGGCGTCGGAGGGTTGCGAGCATCATCGGTCATCGGCGCTCGCGACTGAAGAGCGCCCGATGCACTTCTTGCACATGTGCGGATCCTTCCGCGTTTTGGGGATGGAAGCGCTCGTTCCGAGTGTTTTTCTTCCGCCGGGTCACGTGGCTGCGCTTGTCTGGGCCTATTACCAAGATAGCAATGGCGTATTTCCTTTCGCCTCGAGGGATCCATGCGCTTCCTTAGCATTTGTCGCTAGACACTGCTGTCGTCGCAGGCGCCGAACTTTGTTGTGCGCACGAACCAAGCTGAAATTGCTCTGGTAGGTGTAATTATGCATGGGCCATCCGAATATGCAATAACATTCAGGTCGTTCGATGTTTTTCCTGTCAGAGGTCCACTGGTGATCCCCGATTGATCCTAGGGAAGGGTTACAGGCACGTTGGCCAGGGGGGTTATGGGCGTACTTACCCGCTACACAAACAAGCCATTTTATCCCAATGGTCTAGTGGTTGGGATTCTGACATTTCCCTACGCCTAAAGGGAACCATGCGCTTCCTTAGCATTTGTCGGTAGACATTCCCGTCGCATGGCTAGTAGGTAGAAAGATAGTCTACGTAATCAACGGTAGGGAGCCCACAAGGGAAAGTTCGGCGCTTCGTAAGTCGCATTTAGGGTGACGCGCGTTTGTGACGTGCCTTCTACGCAGTACCGAATTTGCGCGTCACAAACTATTGTGACACAAATGTCCCTGCAGGAACGTACCCAGGGCCTCAGATTCGTTTTGTTGGAGGCGCACGCGCACGCTTACTTCCTCCTGGGTGTGATGGTTACTTGTGCATGGGTTGAGACCAGGGGGCTACTTTTTTAAACTGATTATGAGCAATTTAGGGGAATACCGTAGACACCAGTACTGTCTGGTTGACCGTGGACCCTCTGGCACACTAAACGGAGATGAATAAACGATGACACGGTATAAAAATAAACCCTTCTGCCAATGGGGCAGATGTCTGTATGTAAGGCCTTATCATGGCCCGTGTGACGTATATTCAGAGGAGGCGGGTGAAGTGGAGCTCCACCTGCAGGCGGCGGTGGATGGCTTCGGGTGACGCCAGCAGCCCCTTGCGCAGGTCACCCTCCACCTCCGCCAGCGGCACCGCCGCCAGGAACGCCTTGAGGTACTCGCGGCACGCCTCCGCTCCCCACACCCTCCGCCCCGCTGCCACCGGAGCTGCCTCCCCCTCGCCCTCCCCGCCACAAGCAGGTGCGGCCGAAGTGGGAGGGGAGGTGGCGGTGGCTGTGCAGGCAGGAGACGAACCAGCAGCGCTCGACGCGGTTTGGGTGGGCTGCTCACTGCTTGCACACCCGTCAAAATTGGTGGTGCTGGTTTTCGTCTCGTGTATGGGTGACCGTGATGGACCGTCAGTGTGTGTCAGCAGACATGTTGCCTCGGCTGCATGCACTGCTGTAGGAATCACTGAGTCAGCTGCAGTGGATGCTGACTCATCTCCGCATGGTGGGCTGCAGGTGTCCGCAGAAGGACTATCTACATGATTTGGAGTGGCAGTGATGGGAGCGGGCACGCCATGAGTGTCGGCAGGGAGCAAAGTGACGCCTTCACTCGATCGCATTGCTTGGAGCACCACCCCTTCAACCTCTGCCACATGCGTTCCTTGTGCTGCTCCCACTATCACGTCTTCCCCCTTAGCAGCACCTGCCTCACAGCTCACCGTGTCGTTCACCCCATGGGGATGGGCACCCACCCCCCCTGCTACAATATCCATCCCACTGCTGCCTTTGCCCTTCCCACTGCCATCTTTGCCCTTGCCACTGCCCTTGCCTGCCTTCACACCCCATCGCCTGCCTGTCTCTACCTTGGGCACCTGAGCACCAATGCCGCCTGCCTTACCCTCTGCCCTCTCTGCTTCGTCCGCCCTGCCTTTTTGCTCACTGCTGTCACCAGTACCCTGCGCTTTCGCCTGCCCCCCACCACCGTCACCTGCACCACCCGCTCCCCCTCCTGTGCCGGCCCCGCCTGCAGCAGTGCTTCCGAGCGCTGCTGGAAGAGGCAGGCCGACATCCACCCAGGAGGAGGAGTCAAAGAGCAGCATGAAGGCCTGCGAGCACCCCTCGTGCAGCCGCTCGCCCAGCGTGTCGATCACCACACACTCCACCTCCCCACCCCTCGCCTCAGCCCATGTGCCACCATGGCCTGCACCTTCACCTGTGTGCTCCCCCACAGCCCTATCCAGTGCTGCTTGCGCGCCCCCACACCCGTGTTGCTGCTGGTGGCGGTACTGGTGCGGGTGGGGTTGGGAGCGGCGCAGGAGCAGAAGGAAGAAGTGGTCGTTCCACGCCACGATGTACACGCCCTCGCCCGCCTGCACCACCGCCTCCCAGATGTCATCAAACGACAGCATGCCCTCCAAAAACGCCAGCTGCTCCAACGCCTTCTCCTCCACGCCCTTCTCCTCCACGCCCTTCTCCTCCACGCCCTTCTCCTCCACGCCCTTCTCCTCCACGCCCTTCTCCTCCACGCCCTTCTCCCCGACGCTTTCAGGGCTCTCCACAGTAGAAGTCTGTTCTTGCTTTCCTGTTTCCAACGGCGCTTCAGCCCCATTGCCTTTTGCTTCTACGTCTGGCGAACTGCTTGTGCGCTTCCCCACTACTTCCTCCTCCTTCCCCTCACCCCCCTCCTCTGTATCTCTTCCGCTCTTGTCCACAGTGCTCGCTCCCGCCTCGCCCCTGTTCACATCCGCCGCATCACCTTCTGCTGCGCTGCTGCCCTGCGTGCGGGCGGCGTCCTCCTTGGCGCGCCTGGCAGCAAGGCAGGGCGGGTGGAAGAACCCCACAAACGACTGGCTGGGCACCACACACAGCGGCAGCCGGGGCATCCTTGCCACCCCACCACCATCGCTGCTGCCGCTGCTGCTACCATCGTGGGAGGCACCAGGGTCCGTGTTTCCCCCACCATCCTTATCAGCTGCCTGCTTGTTGACCTCTGCACCCACAGCCTGCCCGCCACGGTCTGTCTGCGCAAGGGGGGGTGTATCGGAGTGGGAGTGCTGCACGGCGGCCAGCACGGTGTCAAGGTCAAAGTGCCCGTCGGGGAAGCGCTGGTGGAAGTCGCTGAGGGCGCGCAGGCGGCGCCAGTCAGCGGACCCGGCACGGATGAGGTCGTCCAGCTCCGCCTGCCCTGGCAGCGTGCCCTCCCCGTGCGCATGCAGATGCAGATGCACCCACGCCGCTATGTGCGCCACCAGCAGCGCACACGCGCCCTCGCCCGCAGCACTGGCATGGCACTGGTCCACGGTCGCCAGGAACACCGGCGCGCACAGCCGCGCCGCGCCGTCGCGACTCACCACCTCACGGCGCTCCCACTGCCCCACGCGGAACTCGTCCCCAAACAGCTCTCGCACACTCGATGCCGATGGGGACACCGCCTCTGCCTCTGCCTCCCCCGCACTCGCTGCCTGCTGCTCCTCCAGAGGCAGCTTGTAAAGGGGATGCTCCTGCTCGGCCTCGAGTGCCTTGCGCCTGTCCCAGTCGATCTCGTCCCCCCCCTCCTCCCCGTACGCCTTGTGCAGCAGCGGCTCGCCCCTCTCCTGCAGCGACAGCGTGCGCAGGAACAGCAGCGGCCGCCGCAAAAATGCACCCACCCCCGCACCTCCTCCCCCTCCGCCCCCTGCCCCACCTCCTCCCGAAGTGGCAGCAAGGGGCTTAGCTGGGAGGAAGGGCGGGAGGAGAAAGGGCTTAGAAGGGGGAGGGACGTCGGCAGGGAGGGGGTCGAGCGGCGAGATGGGGGACGAGTCCCTGCTGCCTTGGGCAGGGGGAGGGCCTTGCTCGCCTTGGGTGGAGGCAGCACAGGCAGCAGGTGCGAGTTCAGACGTGGCTTCTTGTGCTGACGATGCTGACTGTGGCGCTGGTGTCGAGGGCAGGTCGGGTGTGGCAGCAGGAGCAGGGGGCGGGCGGGGGGTGGAGGAGAAGAAGAGGAAGGTCGAGGTGAACGTGAAGAGGCGTGGCGCTAAGGGCGACCGCAGAGGAGCAATCACTCGCTGCTCCTCCTCCGCTGCACCTCCCACAACCTCTGCACCCACTGCTCCCTCCTCACCACCGCCCTCCCTGCCTGCCTCCAGTGGTGTCATGTGCACTTCTTGCATTGCAGTCTGCCCTCTCTCACTATGCGCGCTGGAGGGCTGGGCGGGCAGGGAGAGGGTGCGAGGGGGCGAGGGAAGCGCGTGGGGCAGCAGGTGCAGCATGCGCATGCGTGTGTGCACGGGTCCTCCCACGTGCCCTCCCAGGTTCACCTCTGCCAGCGGCCCATAGCACAGCGCCTCCGCTGCTACCATCTCCTCCTCGCCCTCCTCACACTCACTCTCTGCCTCTCCTCCCTCCTCCCTCTCTACATCCTCCTCTGCCTTCTCCCACACTGCCAGCTCACTCGTCAAGCCCCCATTCTCCTCCCACAACATGTTGCTCCCTCGCTCCTTCTTCTCACCCTCTTCGCCCTCCTCCCCCGTCCCCTCATCACCCCTCCCTCCTAGCCCCACCGCCTGTTTCCCGCTTGGCCTGCCCCGCGCACGTCCTGCCCCATCCACTGACACTGACCGCCGCCACACCCCTCCCCGCAGCACATCCAGCAGTCCCATGCCCATGCTCGTGCCCGTGTTTGCGCCCGTACCGGTGCTCGCGCCAGCGCCTGTGTCCGCACCACCGCTCGCGTCCCCATTGCCAGCCGCCCCCTTGTTGTCTGCCAGGGACTCGCCTTCCCCCTCCGCCCCAGCACCTTCACGCGCTCCCTGCTGCTCCACGGCACCACCTGTGTGCCTCGGTGTGTTCCCGGCACTCAGCCCCACCCCACGCTGGCCGTCACCACCACCACCCGCCGCCTCCACCCCAACCGCGCTGCTCGCCTGCCGCCCCCCCATTCCCTGCCCGCCAAGCCCACTTTCCCCCTCCTCGCCATCACTCGCCCTCCGCTTCACCTGCTCCCACTCTGTATCGCCGTCCCCCCCCTGCACCCAATCGGCCTCCTCCTGCTGCCCACCTCCGCTGCTCTGCTCCGCACTGCCACTGCCTGCAGCACCATGCCCCTCGCCCTCGCCTGCCCTGCCCGCCGCGTCCAGGGGCAGCGCGGGGCTCTTGCTCTCCCGGCTGCGCCGCTGCCACCCCCACAGCCCCCCCAGGTGCACCCCGCCACCCCCCGCCTCCCGCACTCCCGTCCCTGCTGCTGCTGGTCCGCCCGCGGCTGGCGTGGCTGGCACTGGCGCCGGTGCTGAGGCTTGGGCCGGGACTGGTGCTGCCGACTGGAGTGCGGCTGGGGATGGGGGGACGGATGCTGCTTGCGGCAGCTGAGTGCACTCCACTGTCACCTGCCCGCGCACAGCAGCACACACACCACAAGCAGAAACGCATCAGCGTTCTGTTGGCACAGAGGCGCATGCTGAAACGGTAAAGCGAGCTTATGGCTGAATGGAAGGGGTGGTGACAGGGTGCAGGGCAGTGCGGAAGCGGCAGGGGCAGTGGCGTGAGTGGCGACCTGTAGCAGGCCGACGGGGGGCGAGTCGGGGGGGGCGAAGAGGAGCAGCAGGTGGTGCGTGAGGGGCTGCGTGGAGAGCGGCGCGGCGAGCGGCGCCACGTCCAGCACCACCGACGCCACCTGCTGTGGACGCTCCCTGGGCCTGCTGGGTGCATGCTGTCGTGCGACCAAGGGGGGAAATGGATGGGAGTGGGACAGGTAAGGTCTGACAAGAGCTAGGGCTAAAATATACAGGAAAATTACACGAAATTGCATGCTTATGGTACGAAAGACGTGGAGCAAACTTCACTGGAGATGTGATTGACACATGGGAGCGAGCCCCTTCACATCCCACCTTGTACACGAGCAGCACCACCTCCCACGGCTGGAAGAGGCACCCCTTGCCGCACGCCTCGCCCTGCCCGCGGGCGGCGCGCAGGGCGGCGGGGCAGGGCAGCAGGTGGCAGTCGTGCGCGAAGCCCTCCTCCCACCGCACCATCCCGTGCGGCCCGCGCGGCGGCTGTGCGCTGCTGCACCCGCGCTTCACGGCGCGCCCGAACATGGACCCCATCAGACCCGCGCGCGCGCCCTTCCACCGCACCTCCACCGCCAGCAGCTCTGCTTCCGCCCCCTCCTCGGCCTCGCCCGCCGCTGCCTCCGCCTCGGCTGCCACAACGGCTGGCACGGCAGCAGGCGCAGCGCTGGCAAGCTCCCGACTGCTGGCCTTGCCTGCAGGCGCTCCTTGTAATCTTTCCACACTCGCTGCCTGAGCCTCCACCGCCACTGCCGCTTCTGCTGTCGCTGCTACTGATGCGCTTGCTCCTGTTGATGCGGCTGTTTGTGATGCCGCTGTTGCTGCTGCTTGTTGGGTCTCCGACGGGCTTGCTCTGTCAGCTGCGCCGACAGTGGCTGCTGCGACGGCAGGCGCATCAGCGGGCAGCAGCATGGAGTAGGACCCGCTCTCACCGCTCCACTGCCCATACCTCTCTGCAACAGCCGGTCCATCAACCGATCCCGCGTCGCCTGGGCCGGCGGGAGGTGCGCTCCGTAGGATGCCTTCAAGGGCGGGAGGCAAGGCGCCGTCCGCCGTCCCCTCCGCTGTGAGCGGGGAAAACCCGCCAGCCTGGTGGCGTGCTGAATCCGCGAGCGCTGCGAGGGCGGAGAGCACTGCGGGCGGGAGGGCTGCTGGGGATGCGAAGCCGAAGGCGTGGTCGACGGTGAGGGAGACGGCCACGGACCGAGGACCCAGCACAGCGCTGGTCGACTGCTGCTGCTGCTGCTCCTCCCGCTGCTGCCGCTCTTGCTGCACCTCTTCCTCCTGCACCTGTTGCTCCTGCTGCTGCACCTGTTGCTCCTGCTGCTGCACCTGTTGCTGCTGCTGCTGCCCTCGCTGATCGTCCGGCCTGTTGGAATGCATGCGCACGGGGACGTCGCTCGGCTCCCCGCACTGTGCCGCAAGGGCGGCCTCGCTGGCGCGCTCCTCGTGGTCGACGCCGCGAATCCACGGGTGCAGCTGCGGCAGCGACACGGAGCGATGGCCCAGCGTTGCCATTGTTGTGCGACAGGGGAAAGGACCGAGCTGAGCAACACAAAACTCTATCACGACGTAAAATCACGAAAGATCATGAAGAATGTTTCACATTCGGATCGCCATGATGCTCGACAATCTCATTGCCTCCCGTATAAACTTCTCCGATACTCGCGGCTTATAAGCTCCCTTCATGGCGGCAACGACTCACGCTGACACCTGTCATTGTCACGCAATGCTTCAAAAGAATCAATGGCTCTTCCGCAACCAATGTCCCAGCCATATAATGTTTGCCTACTACTGTAAATTCCTGTCTGTTCTCGTATTTGCTGAAGAGAACGGGGAAGTTGGTGGCCTTCACATCTTCTCATTGGTTGTTGCGCGTCACACTCTGGTCGAAAACAAGGAGGTGCGTGGAGGTGGGGGCGAGTGACAGGGGGAGAGCAGTAGAGTTGGATGGCGGGCGCGGAATCAACATCGGTGGAGGGGGGTTGATGATGATGCGGGATCTCAAAATGAGTGGCATCGGGGACGGTGGTGGGGAGCGCAAGGAGCATGTCAAAAGGGATCGGTGGGAAAAAGGCGACCTCAAGGCGGGTGGGGAGGGAATGGAAGGGGAGTGGTGCAAAAGCGCAGGACACATGCGGATCTGCTCTCTTCAAACACCCCCTGGGGTTTGCGCGCAACACGGATTTTCCCAGCGAAGGTAGCACAGGGATACCTAGGTTCATCGATTGGGGTCGAATCGCACAGAGTGTGCAGCTGCCCAAATTTTTGGAAGAGGGGATAAAGTGCAAAATCGAATACGAAATCTTTGGCAGGGCTGTGCAAATTGATCCTCCCAAGGCTGCTGGATGAACCGAACTCGATTGGCGAGTGTTTTGGCGAGTGTTACGTGTCTCAGAAGGTGGTGCCCTGGTTCAGCCTACAGGTAAGACAACTAGCAGATAGGATATGCAGTAAATGTTGTACATACATGCTTTGGCAACATGTGCCTTGGCACATCCAGAACGGAGTGCCTTGTGAAAGGAGTGAAGTGCGAAGGAGTGAGGGAAGTGGTCCTCCAGAATGCTGATTCATAGCGGCCAATGGATCCACCATCGCCCATCACCATGCAAACCAAAAACTAGCATGTCTTGTGCAGCTGCGGCAGTGCAACAACACACACACGAACCCCTACGTGTCGTAAATGCATTTATTGGATCACTCGGAAACAAAACATGGCGCTCCTGCAATCCCCATGGGACCACCTCGGCATCGTGCCGCCCGTCACCACATGGCACTTCACCTCCACACGTGCACAATGTGCTGTGATTAGCTGTTGGGCCGCCACGCTGACATGGCAAGCAGTGGTTGGTCCTTCCAGTTGAGGGTGAGGCTGTTGGGTTGCTCTGACGACAGTGAGTACGGGCCCTTGTACCTGCCATTGGGGAGGGGAGGGGAAGGCACCAGGTGAACAGGGGAAGAAAGAGCGCTACGGGACAGATGAGTGGCATCACAAGCAGGTCACGCAGGTCAAGTGCATACACCAGCCAGACAAGGTCACTACACAGAGCGCACAAGGGGCCTCAAGTGGCACACTCACGTGGAGAGCAGGGCGGTGGCGGTGGCCACCACCTCACGGCTGAGCGGGTACCCCACGAACCCGGCGCGGTGCACGCGGCGCTCCCACTGCCCCAGCGGCTCCTGGCGCTCCGTGCGGTCCTGCCCCTCACACGCCACCACGTTCACGATGGCGCGCCCCAGCACGCGCTGCTCAAACAGCCGCCGCTCCGTCGAGTCCGCGGGCACGGATGCGTCGAGGGCGTCGAAGATGGACGCGTAGTAATGGAGCGCCTCGAGGAAGCGGCTGAGGAAGAAGGGCGAGTTGTGGTTCGTGTTCTGCTCCACCAGCGTGGTGACAGCGGGCGCCAGCGCGCGCATGGTGCGCAGCACGGCGGCGCGCGGGTTGGAGGGCGTGACGGACTCGTCCATGAGGTTGTGCAGGCGCAGCGCACAGTTGACCACGAGCACCTCGTCCGCCTCGCAGCGCACCATGGATGGCTGCAGGTCTGGCAGGTTTATGGGGATGAAGTTAAACGTGAACGGCACCCCCCAGCTCTGTGCCACTTTCTGCAGCGCTCAACACGGGATGGAGGGGATGGGAGGAGGGCAGGAGAGGAAGGTCGCGTCATGTGTGAGTTATGCCGAGGCTGTGATGTAAGTTACCTCTTGTGGGTGTGCTAGGAACGATAGAGGAGGTGAAAAGGGAGAAAAACTTGATGGTGGAAACATGAAGGGGAAAGGAAAGACGAACGGGAGGAGAGGGAAGTGAAGGAAGGAGAAAGCGGGCGGTTGGTTGGTGGGGAGAGAGAGCGAGAGATGGGGAGACGCACGCGGAGGCGCTGGCCGGCCTGGCGGAGGCAGTAGCCCTTGTGGATGCCCGCCACAAAGGGGCGAGAGGAGGGCGATGGGTGGTGAGACACTGAGACCACTACGACTCACCCTTAGGCGCTGGCCGGCCTGGCGGAGGCAGTAGCCCTTGTGGATGCCCGCCACAAAGGGGCGAGAGGAGGGCGATGGGTGGTGAGACACTGAGACCACTAAGACTCACCCTTAGGCGCTGGCCGGCCTGGCGCAGGCAGTAGCCCTTGTGGATGCCCGCCACAAAGGGGCGAGAGGAGGGCGATGGGTGGTGAGACACTGAGACCACTAAGACTCACCCTTAGGCGCTGGCCGGCCTGGCGGAGGCAGTAGCCCTTGTGGATGCCCGCCACAAACGGGCGGTCGATGCCCGTTATGCGCAGGTGCGGTGGACCCCCCGGCAGCACGGCCAGCGCCTGGATGAGCGGCGGCCACTGCACGGCGTGGCCCAGCCCGAAGTCCACTATGTGCACCTTGCGCGCGCCCTGTATCGCCTCCAGTATCGCGCTGTTGCACGCCACGTGCCCAAACGTCAGGTACGGCGATGCACTCACCAGCACCTGGTGGGGGGGCGTAAGGACACGGGGGATATGGGGGTGTGCAAAGCAAAAGACAACGCACTTAAGTGTCCACCCACCCGCCCCCCTTGTTATACAAACCTCCTTCCAGCACGGCCCTGATAAAGCACAACAACACCACTCTGTCCCACAGCCAGCGCCCCACCTCGGACATTCCAATAGCACCAACACACTTGAACCACCCTCACAGCTCCACCGGCTGCACCCCAAGGGCCCTAACAGCTAGCCCCCTGGCTGACCTCGAAGGCGCGCAGCAGCGGCGCATCGCAGTCGATGGAGCGGTAGATGCCCAGCGCACCCGCTGCCCTCACAGCTCTTACAGGGCCCTCTCATCTTCAAGCCCCCCACTGTGAAGCAGCTCACTCACCTCAAAGGCGCGCAGCAGCGGTGCATCGCAGTCGATGGAGCGGTAGATGCCCAGCGCGCCTGCTGCCCCCGCGCCGTCACTGCCGGGGCAGCCGGGGCCCGTGGGCGCCGTGCCGGAGGCGCGGGCGAGCAGCCCCTCGAGGAAGTAGGCGGACACGCGCTGTGTGGCGTCCCCGTATACTGACGCTACTGCTGTTAGACGCTCCACCAACACGTGCACCTGGGGGGGGCGGGGGGGGAAGGAGGTGAGAGGGGAAGGACACGCGCTGTGTGGCGTCCCCGTACACCGATGCCACCGCTGTCAGCCGCTCCACCAGCACGTGCACCTGTGGAGGGGAGAAGGGGGGGAAGAGGGGAGGAGGGAGTGGGGGGGACGGAAGGCAGAGGGGAAAAACGGGCGCGTGACGAGATGGGAGAGATGGCTGCAAGGCGCTTCACCAGTGTGAGCAGTGGCATGGGCGCGTGACGGATGGACGAGATGGCATGGCATGTGAGCGATGAGAGGCACCTGCACTTGCCACGATGACATGACAAGCTGAGCTGCGCTCAAACTGTGCCCCACCGCACCTGTACCCTCTCCCCTCCTCACCTTTCTCCTGCTCCCCCCTTCTCACCCTCTAACGTTCGCCTGCCTCATATTTTCTCTGCCCTCTCATCCGCTCTGCCCTCTCATCCGCTCTGCCCTCTCATCCGCTCTGCCCTCTCATCCGCTCTGCCCTCTCATCCGCTCTGCCCTCTCATCCGCTCTGCCCTCTCATCCGCTCTGCCCTCTCATCCGCTCTGCCCTCTCATCCGCTCTGCCCTCTCAACCACGCGGCCTCCCCCTGGGACTCACCCGGAGGTGGTCGCCGGACACAATGGCCTTGGCGATGTCCAGCAGCATCTGAATCACCGCCGACCGCCTTTGAGACGCCACTGCTGCCTCATATTCTCTTTGCCTCTCATCCGCTCTCCCTCTCGTCCGCTCCCCCTCCCCTTTCAACTCACGCGGTGGTGGTCGCCGGACACAATGGCCTTGGCGATGTCTAGCAGCATCTGAATCACCGCCGACCGCCCCGTGCCGCTGCTGCTGCCTGCTCCTCCTCCTGCCGCCGCCTGCACTCCATGCTGCGCCTGCTGCATCGCCTGGCCCCCCTGCTGCCCCTGTTGCTGCTGCCCCCCTTGCTGCTGCCCCCCTTGCTGCTGCCCCCCCTGCTGCCACCCCTCCTGGGAGCCGCCCGGGCTGTTAAGCGCCGCCCTCTGCATCTGCGCCATCAGTTCCTCCGCGCGCCCTTGGCTATCCGCGCGCCCCTGGCTCTCCCCCGACCTCGCGCTCCCCGTCCCCTCAACTCCCCCGCCCTGCTGCCCCGCGCCCTGCCCGCCGTCCCTGGCGCAACTGCTGGGGGGCGCGCCTGTGAAGGCGGGCGGCATGGGGTGATGGGCGGGCGGCAAGGCAGGGTTAGCTTGCACCATTCGGTCCACCGTCATCCCCAACAGCTCCTCCTCGCCCATCCCCGCGCCCATCCCCATCCCCATTCCCCCGCCCATGTCCATGCCCATGCCTGCGTCCCCTGGTGCGCCGTGAAAGGCGCCAGGCGGCGCGGAGAGGAAGGCGGGGTTGAGGTCGTGGGGGAGCAGCGACTCCATCTCGTCGAAGGCGAAGGTGAGCTCGTCCAGTCCGCGGAAGAAGTCCGCCTCCATGTACTCCGCGCCCAGCGCCACCGGCTCCACCTGCTGCACGCGCGCCATCCACTCCGCCGCGCTCAGCTCGCGCAACTGCTCCGCCACCGAGTTCGGCCCGTGCCGCGGCCACACGCCCCCGCTGCCGCCGCCCGCCTGCCCCGGCACGAACGCGCACGCCGCGGGGGAGCCGCCGGGGCTGGGCTGGCCGGAGGTGGAGGGGGAGGGGGAGAGCTGCTGGCAGGGCTGGCCCGCGGAGTTTAGCGGCACGGCCGCCGGCTGTGCGTGCTGACGTGGCGTGAGGCCAGTGGAGTGCGAGGAGGACGAGCTCGCGGACGGCCCGGGCGACGCTGTGCCATTGCCCTGCGACGAGGCGCCAGAGGTGGCGGGCGGAAGGGAGCAGGGATAAGAAATCGGCTGCGGCGGAGGGCGCGGCTGCGGGGGGGGCTGGCGGGGGTCGGAGGGCGGAACGAGCGGCTCCTGCGTGTTGCCCCACAGCTGCTGCAGCGTCGCCGTCAGATCCCGCGCCGTGCGTTGCGGCGGCGGTAGCGACGGCTGCTGCTGACCGCCGCCGCGCGTGTTGCCGCCGTGCGAGTGCGTGTGCGCTCCTTGGTGGCCGCCGCATGGATGATCTGAACGGGCGGGGAGCACGGGGGAAGATAGAACGGGGCGCGGGGGAGGAACGGGGAGCGCGAGGAGTATGGATTCATATGAGAGCAATGTTGCACAAGTGGCGGTAACGAAGACGGGGATACAGAAAGATCTCGTTACCGAGACACGGCACAGATACAAACGAACCATAAGTACGGCATGAGAGGCAAGGCGACGGGCGGACGGCACGGACCTTGCACGATGCGGCACGTCTTGAGCTGCACGTGCATCCACGCGCGCTGCAGCCGCTGCTCCAAATCCGACGGCACGCCCTCTCGCTCACCCGCCATGGCGCGCGGGCCTCGCGTTATGAACAGATTTTGTGGGCAAACCAAAACCTAAAAGTTACTATGAAGCACTACCGTGCAGAACGCAGCTATGGCTGTGCGCCTTCCGTGCGTGCCGGTTTTCTAGCTGAGACAAAAACAAGTCGGACAAAAGCGAGAGCTATAATAATGCCTAGCGCACACGCCGCAAGGTACTGTACTGTATTGTTCAAGAACGACCCCCTCACACCTCCCTTGGGAGTGTCGTACCGTACGACGCGTGCGGGCGTGCATCGGAGTGCTTATCCCGTTCCTCTGTTCTACAGTTCAACTCTTCACGCTATAAGATATGTCTGTCTAAAATGTATTGTTTCTTTAGACAATACACAATGCATATTCCGCACAAGCACAAATACCTACAACACGATCTGAATTGTAGACTACCAAGACATTATTAGCTGCCTTTAGCCTTTTTTCCACTCTGTAAAGCCAAATGGGTTTGCCCTTATTTCACACCTAAACATTCAAATCATTTCTCGCATCCTAATGTTGTTTATCATGCAGGAACTGGTGATCTTGCACGCTCCTTGACAGTCATATAAAGCCCCTGTAAAGCCAGAAAACACAAGAATGGTCAGGAGGGTGCCGAAGGTGCAGATGGGTGCAGCAAGGTGCACAAAGAGCATCTGGCATACATACATTCTTGGTGTGGATGGTGGCGCCAGTGGTCATGCTGATGTCCTGGTTGGGCACGAGCGCGAAGTCAAACTCGCGGAGGAGCACCGACAGCACACAGATGGCCTCCAGCATCGCAAACTGGTCCCCTATGCACTTGCGCGGGCCGCCGCTGAACGGGATGTACCTGGTGCCAGAAATGGAGGGAACAGCAGAGCAGCACACAGGGTGCAAGGGGAGCATGGCACTGAGTGGCAGGGCATGGCGCCAGGGGCCACGATGTCCGGCCGGAATCATTCAGAAGCGCAGAGACAAGGGAAAGAAACGGAAAGGACAGGTGAAGAAGCTGTGCGTGCAACAAGAACCTCAATGCAGTGAGGAAGCCCTGCAATTGGTTCAGGGTTGTCCACAGCATGGCATGGAACAGCAGTGCAGTGTGCCCACCTGTAGTCGGTGTTGACCTCGTTGGGCACGGGCGCATCGAGGTCAAATCGCTCCGGCATGAACTCATCCGCCCGCTCCCACACCTGCCATGCCATGCCATGGGGGGCATGCCACGCAATACGGCCATGCCATTTGTTTGGTGCCGCAGGGGTCATGCCGTGGGAGTTGGTAATGCAGATATGATTTCATGTAAGGAGGGAAACAACTGAAAGGGTTGCAGATGAGATCAGGAAATGAGAGTGTGGGGATGAAGGCAGGGTGCAGAGACGAAGGCAGGGAGAGGGCATGTATGTGTGCAGGCACCTGGGGCGAGTGGTGGATGTTGTAGACGGAGATCATCATGTCCTGAGATGAAGGCATGGAGAGGGCATGTATGCACCTACCTGCGGCGAGTGGTGGATGTTGTAGACGGAGATCATCATGTCCTGCCCCGGCTGCACCTTGTACCCCCCCGGTAGCACATCGCTCACCACTGCCCTCCGGATCAGGATCTGCACGCACAGCCCAGGCAGGGGGAGGCCGGCAGGCAGGGCAGTGGGCAGGCAGGGGAGGGCAGGAAGCGCAGAGGGCAGAGGGCAGGGTGAGAGAGTGTAAGGCTTGCATCAGGACCAACTCGTCACAGGCACACACATATCAGCAGCAGTGGGCAGCAGTGCTGGGTGCCTGCGCCTGCACACCACTGCCAACAGGTACAAACGCAAGTTGCAAGCGTGCATGCACGCACTGCACAAAAGCAGCATGTGCGCATGCCATGGCACATCTTTTCTTGTATGCTCGTCCAAATCCAATTCCATCGCATGCAGTGACCAGGGGGTGGGTGTGAGGAAGTGCAGCGGTGCATGGAGCCGTCGCTTGGTGCTCCGTGGAGGCCCTTGCTTTGCGCCCCCCCATGAAACTCACACAACTGTGAACGCCCAATGACATTGCTGGCACTGACCGGCGGGTGGGGGTAGAGGCGCACTGACCGGGGGGTGGGGGTAGAGGCGCACTGACCGGCGGGTGGGGGTAGAGGCGCACTGACCAGCGGGTGGGGGTAGAGGCGCACTGACCGGCGGGTGGGGGTAGAGGCGCACTGACCGGCGGGTGGGGGTAGAGGCGCACTGACCGGCGGGTGGGGGTAGAGGCGCACTGACCGGCGGGTGGGGGTAGAGGCGCACTGACCGGGGGGTGGGGGTAGAGGCGCACTGACCGGCGGGTGGGGGTAGAGGCGCACTGACCGGCGGGTGGGGGTAGAGGCGCACTGACCGGCGGGTGGGGGTAGAGGCGCACTGACCGGCGGGTGGGGGTAGAGGCGCACTGACCGGCGGGTGGGGGTAGAGGCGCACTGACCGGCGGGTGGGGGTAGAGGCGCACTGACCGGGGGGTGGGGGTAGAGGCGCACTGACCGGCGGGTGGGGGTAGAGGCGCACTGACCGGCGGGTGGGGGTAGAGGCGCACTGACCGGCGGGTGGGGGTAGAGGCGCATGGACTCGTTGATGCAGCGCGTGAGGTACTTGAGCTCCCTCGTGTCCGCCAGGCTCGGGTGGCTCTTCCCCCCCAGCACCCTCTCCGCCTCCTCCTGTGCCTTGGCCATCTTCTCGGGATGCTGCCATGGGGAGTGCACCGGCAGGGGGAAAGATGGAGGGGCAGGGGAGAGGACGTGTGAGGTACTTGAGCTCGCGCGTGTCCGCCAGGCTTGGATGGCTCTTCCCCCCCAGCACTCTCTCCGCCTCCTCCTGTGCCTTTGCCATCTTCTCTGGGTGCTGCCATGGGGAGTGCCAGGGAGGGGGACAGCGGATGGGCAGCGGATAGGAGGGGGAAGAGAGAGGGGATGGAAGGGGAGGCGAGGTGAGGAGGGGTGGCCACGGGGTGAAGCAGAAAGATTGATTGCGTGAAAGGGGTGGGTGTGAAAATGCGGGATGTTCTGTGATTGTGTACGTTTATGCGAGAGGGGGGTGAGTGTGTGAAAAGGGGATGAGTGTACAAAAGGGGTGGAGTGTGGAAAACGGGGTAAGCGTTTGAAAGGTAAGAATCCATGTGAAACGGAGGCGAGTGAGTTAAGGCAGGGGTGAGTGCATGGAAAAAGGGTGAATGTGCTTATAGCTAAGGAGACGAGGGGGCGTGGGGAGTGTGGGAGGGCGGGCGTGCCTGGGCGAGGAGGTAGACGGTCCAGGTGAGCACGGAGCCAGTGGTCTCATGGTGACTTTTGAGTCGACTCAAAGGTCACCTCGAATGCGCGTGAAGAGAAAGGGGCGTGTGGAAGTGGAAGTGGAGGGGGAGGGCGGGCGTGCCTGGGCGAGGAGGTAGACGGTCCAGGTGAGCACGGAGCCCGTGGTCTCATGGCCCGCCACCAGCATGGACAGCAGGTCGTCCCTCAACTGCACGCTCGACACCTGCTCCATGCACGTGCACGCGGGGAACGGGTGGGGGAAAGGGAGGCATGGAAGATGATTCGTGGGTGTGTGGAGCGCACGGGGTGTGGCAGCGCACACCGGTGAGCAGCGGAGACGGCAAGGAGCAGAGAGGAGAAGCAGAGGGGGGGCACGGGAGGCACGTTGCACAGGAGCTCACCTCTTCCCTGCTGGCGAGGAGGAAGCGCAGGATGGAGGGGTCGCTCTCGTTGACGTACTCCTCGTCGTCCCCTCTGCGCTCGTTCTCCTCCTCCACAATGCGCTTGCACTGCGCCACCAAATCTTCCACCGTCTCGCGGATCACCCTCACCGCCTCCGCTGCCTTGCGCTGCCGCGGCACGATCGCACACAGCAGTGGCACCTGTTGCATGGGGGATAGATAGGGGCGGAGGGGGCCGCTCGTTCACCTCCTCCACAATGCGCTTGCACTGCGCCACCAGCTGCTCCACCGTCGTGCGAATCACCCTCACCGCCTCCGCCGCCTTGCGCTGCCGCGGCACGATGGCGCACAGCAATGGCACCTGCACGGGAGATAGAGGGGGGGGGGGGGGCAACGGGAAGGAGGGAAGGGGGTGGCGGGGAGTGGGTTGATAGAGGGCTGTTACTGGGCCAGGGAAGGGGAGCTCCTCGTCGTCGCCCCTTTGCTCGTTCTCCTCCTCCACAATGCGCTTGCACTGCGCCACCAGCTCTTCCACCGTTGAGCGAATCACCCTCACCGCCTCCGCCGCCTTGCGCTGCCGCGGGCGGCACGAAGGCGCACAGCACCGGCACCTGCACGGGGGATAGGGGCGGAGGGGATGGGCAGGGAAGTGGGGGAGGGCGGGTAGAGGAGTGGGTTGATGACGCGCCGTTACTGGACCAGAGAAGGGGGCCTCCCGCAGCACGATCCCAAGGTGTGAGCGGCAATGGGCGGTGGGACATGCAGCGGCGGCAGTGTCCGCCACATTCGAAGAAAGCAAACTGGCTGGCCTGACAGGTTGAGCCTGATTGGCTTGCGCTCAACATTTTCCATGCCGTCTCGTGTGCCACTCGTCATACCATTTTCATTTCCGTGTCAGTTCTACCCCCACACTTCATACCGCCGTGTAAGTACTGACGACAGCTCAGCACCAGTATATGCCCCTACCTCCCTGCATCACGAACCGCCTCACCTGCCAGCAGCGCAGGTCGAGCGCGCACCTGCCAGTAGGGGAGGATGTCGCACCTGCCAGTAGGGGAGGATGTCGGTGGAGCGCGACTCGGTTTCCTTGAGCGCGGTGTAGACGGCCTGGATGAGCGGGGAGTCGGTGGAGAGCGAGTCGAACTGGAAGTTGAACACGGCGAGTCCGATCACGTCCAGCGTCAGCTGCGAAAACATCGCCTCCATGTTCACCTCCTCGCCGCGCGCCGCGGTCCCGCGCAGCTTGTCGACGAGGTGCTGCGTGCTGCTCGCGAACACCGTCGCCACCATCGTCTCCAGGTACCGCCTGTGCAGCGACGGGCCCACTGCGCGCCGCCGCGCCTGTTGAGTGTGGGTGCACGGGCAAGAGTTTGTACGTGAATGCACGGAACGATGGGTCCAACGCAGCAAGTAATGGGGCGAACACCGTCGCCACCATCGCCTCCAGGTACCGCCGGTGCAGCGACGGGCCCACTGCGCGCCGGCGCGCCTGCACGCACCACATGCCACGTGTCGGGTGTGGGCGCACGGTGAAGAGCTTCTACGTGCACGAGTGTGGGGTTTGGGTGCACGGCCAGCAGACGCAGCCTACGCGCACGAGTCACGGCGCAAGGGAAGGAGAGCGAGAACGAGGAGGCAGAGAGCGGGGCGAAGGGTCCAAGGCAGCGAGCGCGGGGTGCGGGTTGAGGCAGAGCGAGAGCGAGAGAGAGCGAGCGCGAGCGCGTATGGTCCAGAGGTGGCCCTCGGCGATGGCGAAGCCCGAGCCTACGTGCACGAGTGTGGCGTTTGGGTGCACGGCAGAGAGCGGGGCAAAGGATCAAGGCAGCGAGCGCGGGGTGGAGATTAAGGCAGAGAGCGCGTACGGTCCAGAGGTCGCCCTCGGCGATGGCGAAGCCCGAGCCTAAGTGTGGGGTTTGGGTGCACGGCAGAGAGCGGGGCAAAGGATCAGGGCAGCGAGCGGGGTGTGCGGATTGAGCGCGGGGGTACGAGAGTGTACGGTCCAGAGGTCGCCCTCGGCGATGGCGAAGCCCGAGCCGAAGAGGAGAACGAGAAGGAGGCAGCGCGCGGAGAAAAAGTTCCAGGCAGCGAGTGTGGGGTGGGAAATGCGGCAGAGGGGGTGCGGAATATGGCAGAGAGAGAGCGCGTACGGTCCAGAGGTCGCCCTCGGCGATGGCGAAGCCCGAGCCGAAGAGGAGAACGAGAAGGAGGCAGCGCGCGGAGAAAAAGTTCCAGGCAGCGAGTGTGGGGTGGGAAATGCGGCAGAGGGGGTGCGGAATATGGCAGAGAGAGAGCGCGTACGGTCCAGAGGTCGCCCTCGGCGATGGCGAAGCCCGAGCCGAAGAGGAACTCCGCCACCTCCGCCACGAGCCCCTTGGCGTATATCGCGCCGTACCCCCGCAGCACGTGCTTCGCCGCCTCCGGCTCGCCGATTATCACGAAGTTGCGCGGCCCCGCCGCCAGCCTGCGCGTGGGGGATTGTGAGAAATTTGACGCGAGCATCGTTGGCAGGCCGCGCGGCCTTCACAGCAACTTGGGGGACCCGCGCTTGTTTCCCTGACAACAGAAGGCTTTCTCTTTCTCTCTGACGACATGTGACTCGCCTGATCACGTTGGATTCTTCCTGACAATATTGGATTCTCTCATCCCAGCATTCTTACATTGCAGCATCCCCCTAAACATCTATTGGTTTCTGAGACGCGCAGGCGGGCAGCAAGGCCATAACCATTCATCTCGTGCACCACCATTCACGCCATTGCCGTTCAGGCACCCAAAAAGCGATCAAAGTCGATCGCAAACGACACATTCATGCGACTGACCGGTAGACGGGGCCGGACTCGAGCATTTCACTGACCGGTAGACGGGGCCGGACTCGAGCATCCACTTGAAGAGCGGCAGGAAGAGCGCGCCGCCCAGCAGGTCCTTCACGTCGTCCAGCTTCGCGTCCGCCACGGGAATGCCCGAGTCGTCGGGGCCGCGCAGCTTCTCGAACAACGACGTCAGCCAATCAGGGCTCACCCACGTCATTCCCGCTCCCGCCCCGTCCTTATTGCTTCCTGAGTCGTCTTGTCTACCAGCCATGGCCACCAGACGACCTTTCCTAGCGGCGCCATGCCCTCGGTTTCTACGTGACGCGATGCGAGCGGTTTGGCGAGGCTCGCCGGTGCGGAAAGACGACGACGACGAGGCGGCTGCGGACGAGCCCAGCCGTAGCGACACTGCGTGCGAGCAGGCGATTCCTGTAACGGGAGCCATGCTTCGGACGCTCGTGACTGGCAAATCAGAATTCCTGATTCTCAGGAAAAGATCACCAGCAAATGTTGGAGTAGCAGGTGTTGTGCTGCGTGAAATGAAGCCTTGAACACAGACCAGTCACAGAACTCCGTGAAGATCCCAGTGCCGAGGATAAAAGCGTCGAGCTTCGCTAGAAAAGCAACTCCCAAAGCAATCCAAACGCGAGGTGTGCCACGTCCGCACTACGTGGTAGCCCTGTCGAGCCTTACCGACAGAGCACGCCCAGCTGGCAAAAAATCCGAGCCACGGCGAATGCTTGCACTACACCTTGTCGTGCTGGCCTCATCTCCTTAACGAGGATGTTGTCTGTACTTCTAGCCTCTCACCTTTTTCCATATATTTCTCTGCATTTAAAAAAACGTTTCACTTACACAACATTGCCGCATTCTATAATGACTGTTAGTGAAGGGGGTGCGTAGGTTGCCATAAGTATCGAGAATGAGAAATGGATAAATGTTCCGATGTACATCCCCCCACCCTCCCCACCCCCTCCCCCACCCCTCCTTTTTTGCCATTTTTTATAATTCCCTTGACACAAGGGAACACGAATAGACGACTATATGCTCCTATGTATTACCATCATGCTATTCTAAACCTCTAAACCGGGCCTCATCTCGCTTCCGCTCCCCCTCCTAGCCAGAATGCAGTGCAACCCACCAGCACCGCCAGCACCAATTGCGGCAGCCACCACAATCACCCCCCAGAGTCCAGGTCCACCGCGCCAGTGCAGCCACTCGCGACTCGCGAGTCTTTCCACCTCGACCTTGCCGCGCTGCAGCATTCGCATCGCGTGTGCTGCATCGTCCGTCAGCATCGCTGTCAGAAATATCATAACTGCCCCCCACTGCACGCATGCCTCGCGGACTAGCCGCAGAGTAATGCCGTCCGTATCGTCCCCCCAGCGCCAGCCATGGCGCCATCTCTCCTTCGCCTTGCTCCGCGATCCACGCCTACGGCCTCCAACCACCCTGCCCGATCCCACGCGCCTTCTCGCGCGGTGCGTGGCGGAAGTTCCACGTCAGCGTCGCGCGCGTGGCTGCGGCGCTCCATCCCCGCGTCGTGCGTCGCGCTGTTCCTCCTGCTGCTGACGGCGTCGCTGCTGCGCGCTCGAATTCGCCGCCGTTCGCCAGAAGTCGGCGGATGTGCGGGCACGAGAGACGGGGAGTGCAGTGGGGTTGGTGGGAGCAGCGAGGCGGAGCGGCCGCTGAGGGTGTATGTGGTGCTGCTGCCGGCGCCGTACAACGTCGACCTCATACCGCTCGCGCAGGTGACTCATGCCCCTCGTGACTCCCCTGGCTTTAACGCCTCCCATGCGTGAGCACCGCGGATGAGTCACCCCCCTGCCGCAGGTGCCAAGCCCCCCATGCCTGTGCCGCACGTCGCCCTCTGCCCTCCTTCCTCGCCGCTCGCATCTCTGCTCCCTCCCACCCGCTTCCTCTTCTCTCGTGCTTCTTCCATGCCCCATCCCTCTTCCCCTTTCCCGTTTTCCTTCTGCCCATCCCCTTTCCCCGTGTGCGCCCACTGGAAGGGGCGCAGTCACTGCTGCCATCAGCGGCCCTGCCATCCGCCTCCCCGCCCAACCCCCCATGCACCGTGCCCCTCCAGTCCCCCCACGCCGTGCCACTTTCCTGGTTGCACTCCCCCTCCCCCACCTCCCCCTCCCCCACCTCCCCCTCCACCTCCGCCTCGCCCCTTCCCCCTGCTGCGTCCCCTGCCAGCGGCGGCAGCAGCGACCCTGCCGCCCTCCCACCGCACCTGCTGCCGTTCCTCGGCACCCCGGACCTGCCGGACCTGCCGGACCTCCCCTTGCCGCTCTCACCATCGCCTCCAGCAGCAGCAGCAGAGGCAGGGGAGGAGCGAGCAGCGCTGCCAGAGTCAGGAGGGCCGGTGGGCGTGAGCGTGCCGTGCTACCCGCACTACCCTTACTACCGACAGCACGGGGCAGAGTACTTTCTCACTCTCTCCCTCCTCTCAGGTACCCCCCTCTCTCTCCTCTCAGGTACCCCCCTCTCCCTCCTTTCAGGTACCCCCCTCACTGCACTCACACTTGCTCTCATTCTCTCTCCTCGTCTCCTCTCACTTAAATCTCTCTCATCTCCTCCCCCCGCCCACCCATCCCTCATTCTCTCCTCTCCGTGCTGCCCTGCTCTCCACTGTGTCTCTTCCCCGCGTCCGTGATGCCTCCCTGGGGCTGCCAGGCTCGCCGGCAGTGCAGCGCGTGCAGCGGGTGGAGGAGGCAGAAGTCGTCTTCCTGCCCTACTGGTCCACGCTCTCCTTGCCCCCCACTCTCTCTCCCCTCCGTGCTGCCCTGCCCTCCACGGTGCCCCTTCCTATGCCTGTGGCATCTCCCTCCACTCCGCCAGGCACACGGGCAGTGCAGCGCGTGCAGCGAGTGGAGGACGCGGAGGTGCTCTTCCTGCCCTACTGGTCCACACTCGCCTTCCGCACCAACGCCAGGTGCCCCCTCCCCCCCTGCCACCTCCACTGCCACCGCCACTGCCACCGCCACCAACAATTCTTATCTCTCTGTTCTCGCTGACCCATCCCTGCAAGTGATTCTATGATGTGCTTCTCATCAGCCTCACGTCTGTCCTGCATTGTCCCCTCGCCCTTACCCCCTTCCCCTCCCCCCATCCCATCACATCCCACCCCCCTCGGCACGGCAGTGAGATCCTGGACCCCATCATCGCTTCCCCGTGCACCACGCTGACAGAGCGGCCACAGCCGCCACAGCCTCAAGTCTGTCCTGCACCCTCCCCTCTCCCTTCGCCCCTCCTCCACGCCCATCCCATCCCATCCCATCCCATCCCATCCCATCCCATCCCATCCCATCCCATCCCATCCCATCCCATCCCATCCCATCCCATCCCATCCCCCCCCCCCCTCGGCACGGCAGTGAGATCCTGGACCCCATCATCGCCCACTTCGCCCGCCGCCACGCTGACAGAGCCGCCACAGGCGCCACAGCCTCAAGTCTGTCCTGCACTCTCCCCTCCCCCCATCCCATCCCCCCCCCCCCCTCGGCACGGCAGTGAGATCCTGGACCCCATCATCGCCCGCTTCGCCCGCCGCCACGCCGCCACAGCCACCACAGCCGCTAGCATCCCAGCCAATACGACCCACGACAGTAGCGGCAGCAGTGAAAGCAGCAGCAGCATAGGCAGCAGAGGCAGTGGGAGTGGGGGTGGGCGCATGCCCCCCCTGGTGGTGCCATGTGTGTACCCGCTGGCCATGTTCAACCACTCGCTGCCCCTCGCTGCTGCCATCAAGCTCGCTGTCGACCTCGACCTGCACTGGGCTCAGGTGACAGATGTGTGTGTTGCACTGGCCGCAGGTGAGACCTGCAGTGGCCGCAGGTGAGACCTGCACTGGCCGCAGGTAGGATGTATGTATTGCTGCATGTGGTGATGCGTGCCCCCCCTGGTGGTGCCGTGTGTGTACCCCTTAGCCATGTTCAACCACTCGCTGCCCCTCGCTGCTGCCATCAAGCTCGCTGTCGACCTCGACCTGCACTGGGCTCAGGTGGGATGAGATGCATGTGCTGCTGTGGGGTGTGTCTGTGCTGCAGCCTGCATGTGCGCTGACCCGGCTGCCCTTCCTGTGCGCTGCGCTCTGTGTGCTGCCCCCCTTCCAACCAACGCCTCCCCCCCCCACAGGCAGCATCGTTCGATCGTGATGTGGTAGTGCCGTACGTGCCACTGGTGGCGCCATTCACTCACGACCGTGGCTCCTGGTCCCACCGCCCCCTGCTGCTCTTCTTCCAAGGCACCACCGACCGCTGGGGGGTCAGTGCCATTCACTCACTCTCACTCTCTCGTGCACCGCCCACCGCAGCACGCATGCAGCTCTGCCCGTTCCCTTCATGGCAACTTCTCACCACCCCTTCATTCGCCTTTTGCACCCTTCTCCCTATCCTTAATCCCCCACTCTTGCTCTCCCCCTCCTCGCCCTCCCCCCTCCTCTCTCTCCCCTCCCTCCCACAGGGCGGCATCATTCGGCAGCAAGTGCAGAGGGAGCTGCAGGGGCAGCCCGGGGTGCAGTTCACAGTGGGGCGCGCGGAGAACAGCAGCATGACGGCTCAGGCCGGCACTTCCATGCGCCGCGCCAAGTACTGCCTCGTGCCGCGAGGTGAGGCAAGTACAGGCCACCACTGCCCCTCGCTTGCCCTCATTTGTGCCGCGAGGTGAGGCAAGCACTGCGTGGTGCCGCGAGGTGAGGCAAGCACTGCGTGGTGCCGCGAGGTGAGGCAAGAGCAGTGAGTGGTGGGGTGGCACACGCGCATAAAGGAGAGGAAGGAGATCACAACTGCTGACACACAAACCATTGCCCCTCGCTTGTGCTCATTGGACCTTGCTCACACACCCTGCCTTGCAACACCACCAATTCCCCCCGTCACCTCCCTTCTCCCTCCCACCCCACCCCTGTCTCCCCCTCACAGGTGACACCTCCTCCAGCTGTCGTCTGTTTGACGCCATGCTCTCCGGGTGCATCCCCGTCATAATCAGCGATGCACTCGACCCGCCCTTTGAGGACGCCATCGACTTCACCGCCTTCTCGCTGCTCCTCCCTGCCGCCCTCGCCGTGCGCCCGGGGTACATTCTAAGGATGCTGCACAGGCAGACAGAGGCCGTGTGGCGCCAGCAGTGGAAGGCCATGCGGAAGGTGAGGGGGCAAGAGGGGGCATCGTTGGTGTGCGAGAGGAGGTTCGTTGGTGTGCTGGGTAGAGCGAGAGGTTTCGAAAGCATTGAAAGAGGCCTCGAAAGCATTGAAAGAGGCCTCGAAAGCATTGAAAGAGGCCTCGAAAGCATTGAAAGAGGCCTCGAAAGCATTGAAAGAGGCCTCGAAAGCATTGAAAGAGGCCTCGAAAGCATTGAAAGAGGCCTCGAAAGCATTGAAAGAGGCCTCGAAAGCATTGAAAGAGGCCTCGAAAGCATTGAAAGAGGCCTCGCTGCCCCTCCCCGCCACCCGCGCTGTGCATCGGGGGTGCATCCTCGCCACGCTCCATGCGCAGACGGAGGCCGTGTGGCGCCAGCAGTGGCAGGCCATGCGCCAGCAGTGGCAGGCCATGCGCCAGGTGAGGGCGAGAGGGTGGCGTTGTTCGTGCCATGGGCTGCTTGCCGTGCGTACTGGGAGGTTCCATTGTGCTTGTCTGTGCAAGCTGAGGTGTGAGGTGAGGTGTGAGTGATGCTCCATGATTGTGTGTGGTGTGAGGTGTGAGGGGCAGTATGAGTGGTGGCTGAGGTGCGTAACGGCGAACACACAGAAGGTTGGCCTTATGTGTTTAGGGGAATGTGTGCACTTGTTTTAGAGCGGCTAGTGGGTGTTTGTGGTGCACGTGCCACTATTGGCAACAGCAGGGCACACACAGGCGACCATGCTGGCCTAAGCTGATGTGTTGGTGCCCAGACCATGCAGTGGTACCAGTACCGCGCTTGGAAGACTGCTGCTTGCATGCCCACACATCCAGGGTAGACGAGGGAACGCACATGGTGTTGGCAGGGCATGAGGGAAAAAGAGCAGAGGGCATGGCATGACTGCACCCCAACCACCCTGCTGTGCCGCATGCTGTCACTTTACTAACCCACCCCATCTCACCACATCTCACCCCACCTCACCCCACCGCGCGCGTCCCTCCCCCACAGGTGGCGCATCACTTCATCTACTCCTTCCCGCCACGACCCGGCGGTGCTGAGGACATGGTGTGGCGGGCAGTGGCGCGGCGGGTGAGGGGGCAGTTCTCCCCGCGCTACCGCAACAGGCGGGGCCGCATTCTGCTAGCTCTGCTGGCACAGGCGGGGCTCAACGCCTCCCATCTCCAACAACCCTTGCCCAACCGCCCCCCTGTAACATTTGATGTAACAATCGACACTGAAACAAACTAAAGAAGCACAGGCCTTTTCAAATATTGCAAATTTTCACATCATTAATCAACAAGAAGTAGTGTTACAATAGCATACACTCATATAGCAGTGTCGGCAGCACACCACCCCTACTTGCCGACGCAGAACTTGCTGAAGAAGATGTTGGAAAGTACCTCCTCCGACACATCACATCCTCCTCGCCACTCAGAAGCGGTGATACAATACCTACAATACACGGCACACGGAACACGGCATACACACATCGATCCTGCACCCCTACTTGCCGATACAGAACTTGCTGAAGATGTTTGAAAGCACCTCCTCCGTCACATCCTCCTCACCGCTCACCTGCCCCAGCGCCAGGATGCAGCTGCGCAGATCAATGCTCCAGAAGTCCAGCGGCAACCCGGCTCCTATGCTCTCCCTCACCCGCCCCACCGCTTCCGCGGCTCGCACCATCTGCTGCTGCTGCCGCTGGTTCACCGCCCACTGCTGCCCCTCTTCCTGCACAAGCCCCCCGCCCACCGCTGCCGCCACGGCTGCTTCAAGCTCGTCCAGCCCGGTGCGCAGGGTGGCGCTGGTGGCCACGCGGCGCCACACGGCGCGCTGCACCTGCTCTGGGATGTGCACGCCGAGGGGGTGTGCGTGGTCGCTCTTGTTCTCCACCAGGATCACCACCGCATGGCCCTCTGCCCTTGCGTGCTCCGCTTCTTGTGCGCCTGCTGCTGGCCCTATTGCCATCTCTGCTGCTGTCGCTGCTGTTGCTTCCGCGGGAGATGCAGTGCCACCGAGGGGCTGGCTCGTCCCATGTCCTGCTTCTACAGGCTGCCTTCCCTCCACCGCTCCCTGTGTGTCCGCATGTACATGTGTGTCTGCATGTGCATGTGCATGCCCCTCTGCATGTGCATGTGTCTCTGCCTGCACTGCCATGGAGCTGGAGATGCGGTGGAAGATGGCCGAGTCATCTGCTGTCCACCCCTCCGCTGCACTCACCACCACCAACACCACGTCCGCTGCCGCTGCTGCCGCCTCCGACCGCTGCACACCTGCCAGCACCGCAATGCAGGGGCAGCACAAGGATGCACAAGGCAGCAGGAGAGCACAGAAGCAGATGTGGTGAGGCTGCATGGGCAGACACACAAAGAGAACTCCACATGGCCATGTCAGCACCAAGCCACAAACCCGCACCCATGTTGGTAATGCCATGTGCACCACGTCTGAAAGCCACCTTGACACACTAAGCCTGGAGGAGCAACGCCAAAGCAACGGGGAACACAGCTGCAACGCACCGATGGCTTCAACAGCGTCGGTGGTGTGGCGGATGCCAGCCGTGTCAGCCAGGCGCACGGGGAAGCCCCCCGCCGACAGCGGCAGGTGCAGCTGTGCCTCCACCACGTCCCTTGTTGTGCCGGGCGTGTCCGTTACAATGGCTCGTTCCGACTGCGTCCACGCGTTCAGCAGGCTCGACTTGCCCACATTGGGTCGACCCACGATCGCCACCTGCCGAGGGATGCCGTACAGGATGGAGGGGCCAAGGGAGTGGAAAATGCTTGAAACAATGACAACATGCGATTGTCTATTCTCAACATGCAATGCAATCGCAGTCACCCAGCCCCACCTGAATGCCACCAGCCCCACCTGAATGCCACCAGCCCCACCTGAATGCCATACTCCAGCAGTCGGCCGCGATTGGCGGTCGCGAGGGCCTCGTTGATCTGCTGCCAGATGGCGTCGATCCGACGGCTGACGTCCTTAGCATCCAACGGTGGGAGATCCTCCTCAAAGTCGATGCGCGCCTCGATGTCCACCAGCACGCCCATGCACGCCGCCCGCACCCCGCGGATGTGACGAGATAAGCCGCCCTGCATGGTGGGATGGTGGATGGTGGGAGACATCTGAGCCTCGATGTCCACCAGCACTCCCATGCACGCCGCCCGCACCCCCCGGATGTGACGAGATAAGCCGCCCTGTATGGTGCATAGTGGATGGTGAATGTGGCAAGGGGAGCAAGGAGAGGGTGTGGGACAAGGGTGGAAAGTGAGGATGGAAGCATGGGGTGGTGTGGTGGACGGTGCGTGGTGGAGTGTGAATGGTGCATGCGCGGAGCAGGGAAACAGGAGAGCGCACAAGTGTGGCTGGCGAGAATAATGGCGTGCGCACCACCTGTACCATACCTGCCTCTCCACACACCTCCTCCCGCCTTCCCCCCCAACCCCTCTCCTCCTTCGGGCTGACCTCAACAGCAGCGAGGGCGGAGCGCGCAGCAGCGGTGGAGTCGGCGCGGATGAGGGCGGCCACGGCCTCCGCCTGTGCCAGATCCACCCACACTCGTGCACACACACGCACGCACGCAAGCCCCTCTTCCCCCCTCTCCCCTCCCTCCCCTCTCCCCCACTGACGGACCTCAACAGCAGCGAGGGCGGAGCGGGCAGCAGCGGCAGTGTCGGCGCGGATGAGCGCCGCCACGGCCTCCGCCTGCGCCAGGTCCACACGGCCGTTCAGGAAGGCGCGCAGAGTAAATTCGCCTGGGGTAAATGCAGGGGAGGGGGGAGTGAGAGGGTTAGAAAGGGGGGATGAGGGCCGCTATGGCCTCCGCCTGCGCCAGATCCACCCGCCCGTTGAGGAATGCGCGCAGGGTGAACTCGCCTGGCGTGCATGGGGGGAGGAGGGATGGGAGTGAGGGGCGTGGAAAGGGGTTGGGATGAGGGCCGCTACGGCCTCCGCCTGTGCCAGGTCCACGCGGCCGTTCAGGAAGGCGCGCAGGGTGAACTCGCCTGGCGCACAAGAGTCGGGGGGGTTAGAGGGAAGCGGCAGGGGGGTAGAAGGGAAGCGGATGAATGAGGGCTGCCACAACCTCCGCCTGTGACAAAGCCACCCGGCCCGGGGAGGACAAAGGGAGGGGGGAATGGGGGAGTGAGGAGGTGCATGTGTGGGTGCAGGGAGTGGGGGACACGGGATGGCAATGGCGTGAGCTGCCTGGCACTTGCACTTACTCACACGGAACACTGTGTTGTGCGCATTGACTGTGGAACACACATGGCACACCATGTCAAATGACAGACAGCACACTGGCAGGCGGCCACATCACCACATGCCACGTCATCACCTGCTCCTGCCAGCCTGGCGCCGAGGTGGACGGCGGTGGCGAGGCAGGAGTGGGCGCACACCCTGCCACCGTGGCAGTGCACCTCCACCACGTCCTCACTCGTGTACGACCGCGGGGCCAGCATTGGGAGCACGAGCACCTGCGAGGCGGGGGAGAGAGAGAGGGGGGAGGAGGGGCGAGGGGAGAGGGAAGAGGCGAGGGCAGGTTGGTGAGGCTCCACCACGTCCTCAGCATGTCCAGCATGGGAAGCGAACCCACGCATAAACCCAAAACCTCGAACCTGAACCCCTAAACCGTGGCCCCTCACCCACTGCGCGCACCTCATCAATGGTGGCCCCTCGTTCGTCCACGATGTGCCCGTAACTCACGCGGTGGCTCTCCGCGCGCCACTCCCCCGTCGCTCCGCGCTCCCCGCTCCCCCCGCTTCCCCCCATCACCTCTCCGCCTCTCCCCTCCCCTCCCTTGCTGCTTTCAGCCAACTCGTTCCCCTCATTCCCCCCTCTATAATCCCCATTATCTGATCCCCACGCTCCGTTCTCCGCGCTCCCCGCCCATCCGCCAAGGTCTCCGGTTCCCCTGGCCATTCCCCCTTGCTTCCGCGCTCTGTTCGCTTTCCGCGCGGGGCGGAACATGCGCCGCCGATGCTCACGGCGGCGGGGCCGGAGAGCCGCACGATCGCGACGCCGCCTGACGTGGACGACACGGCAGTGACCACAGCCGCGATCGTGTCGCCGCCTGTTGCGGCGCCGTTTGCGTTGACGGCTCCCTCCCGCGCGCTTTCGGCGGAGAGGGAGGCGGAAAGGTAATCCCCCATCAAGCCGCGAGTATCCTCACGGGGGGAATGCGCGGGGGTGCTGCGAGCGGAAAACGTCCGCGCGCCATCTAGATGTGCGGAAGCTCGCGCGCTGGTCCCTCCGCCATCCTCGCTCCGCCTGGTTGCATCGACCGAACGGCACGCAGCGCGCACGGCACCGGGAATGAAATGGCGGACACTAGCGATGCGATCGATGAGCGGAAGACTCGAACGCGCAAGGGGGGCAAGAGGGGGAGGGATGGGCGCAAGGCGCAACGATCTGAGCGCCATGAGGCGTGCGGGCACAGGGAATGCCCGGGGGAGAACGGCGGCGTGCGCGATGAGAAAAAGACGTCGGGCACACGCGAGGGACGGCGCAATGGCGCACATATAGATGCAGGCGAGGCGCAGCGGCAGAGATGCATCAATTCTGCTCTGCACATACGGAAATGGAGAACAGCCGCAGCGGGTAACTGGATTCCGAACCAACCATTTTGCAAAATGACGCGATACGCGTGAAGTATAACTTATTCCACTTACATAAAATATACAACTACAATTATGCCCAATTCCTTTAATCAATCTCTACCTCTTCTATTATCTAGACAGCATACAAAGAGCACAATGCACATGTCAAAACCCTCAAGCAGCCTTGTGGGCGAGGATGTGCGGAAACTAAACACTTCGCGGTGAAGCGAGGCAGCTATAAAGAACCTCAGAAGCTAGGGCGCAGCAACTAGGAACCCCTTGTAGACGCGAGGGAGCGGCGATTAGGAGCCTCTCAAATGCGCGGCAACGGCGAGGTCCAAGGGCGAGGGGGGCGGAGGTGGCTTGTCTAGCGTGGTGGGTGCGGAGGAGCAGTCGAATGTGGTGTCGATGGGGCGGATGAACGACTGGTCGCCCGGATACTTGCCCTCCACAAACCTGGTGCGGTGAGAGGGTGGGAGTGTCAGGGGATAGGGGAGACACAGACATGTATGTAGAGTTGCTGAGGGGAGCCGGAGGTCATACATGGGCCGGATGATGAACGACTGGTCGCCCGGGTACTTGCCCTCCACAAACCTGGTGTTGTGAGGGGGTGGTGGGAGTGGGATGGGGTAGGGAGAACACAGAGAGGTATGTTGAGTTTTTGGGAGACTCGGAAGCCATGCATTGGGCGATGAACGACTGGTCGCCCGGGTACTTTCCCTCCACTCCACAAACCTGGTGTGGTCAGGGGGTGGTAGGAGCGTGGTGAGGGGAGCAAGCAGGGGATGATGTTGAGTTATCAAGTGAATGGCTGCCCTCATCCTTGCCCCCCTTCAACAAGCATGGTGGGGATGAGGGGGTGGTAGGCGTGTGTGTGAAGGGAACACGGATACGGTGTAGGGATGAGAAGCCCTGTTGATGTTAGAGGAGAAACGTTGAGCCCACAAATATGAGTAAACTTCCCAGTTTTTGAGCCCCATCATCTCCAGCAGCTGGTGTTGCAATGGCAGCACCATGGTCGCATTAACTGCAGCATTTGAAGGGACACACGGCCCACTTACACTATATCTTGCACGTCAAACATGTTGGTGTAGATCTTGTTGTTTGCCGGGTTAACGAGGTTGCTACAGTGCACCGCCTTGTCGTGATTGGCCGCCACACACACGAACTGATGCCCCACAGCCATGCTGCGCGACGATATGCTCAGATCCATGTTGGCACGTGGCGCCACCTGATTGGTTGGGGAGTCAAGAGTTTCAAGCAGGGCTCATGAGACGAGGACAGGAAGGAACTGAGGAGTGTGAAGAGGCAGAGACAGGAATGCCATGAGTGCGATGCTTTAACGTGAGATGCTAGAAAAGCAACTTCAACGTGAGATCGTAGAAAAGCAATACAGAAAAAGGCTCTCTTTATGGTAACCATTGGAAACGAAGGAGAGAAAGGTAAAATTCGTGGTAACCAGCAGAAAACAACAGAAGGGGCGTCCAAGCAGCGCACATGGTAGCCGGTGTTGATGAAGGTGAGGGCGGCGGCGATGTTGTCTTGAGGGCACTGCGCGCCACACGCGAGCAGCTTGTTGAAATCGATCACTGCCGTGCTGTCCTTGAGCACCAGCGACACCAGCGCCACGTAGAACATGCCCTGATAGATGGGAAGGGGTGGGGAACGATAGGGGGGGAGAAGGGGGAGACCTCAGCAGCAGCAACACGAGCGCCACGTAGAACGACCCCTGGTTGGTGGGGAGAAGAAGAGGGAGGCGAGAGAGGCGGTGTGCATGGGGCAGACGGAGTGAGTGGCACGGTGGGAGCAGAGCAGAGCTGAACAGGGAGCAGAGGAGAGGAGGATAGCACGGATGGCCAGGTTCGAGCCAAGGCACAAGGCCTATCTACTGCGCACCTTGGGATAGAAGAGGATCTTGTCGGGTATGGAGTTGGGCGGCAGAGTGACGTCAGGCCACTGCAGCGAGAACACCTGGTCGCTGCCCACGCCCGGCAGCATCTGCACCATTCGGATCACGCCCGCGCCGCTGTCCACGGCCAGCAGGAAGGTCTCATCCGGGGTCAGGTACAGCCTGTCCGCCTGGGAGGGGGCGCGGAGGGGGGCGCGGAAAGGGGATGTGCAAGGGTGGAGAAGAGGGAGCGAGGGTGTGAAGGATGTGAGCGTTTGTGCCGCTGTCCACGGCCAGCAGGAAGGTCTCATCCGGCGTCAGGTACAGCCTGTCCGCCTGGGAGGGGGCGCGGAGGGGGGCGCGGAAAGGGGATGTGCAAGGGTGGAGAAGAGGGAGCGAGGGTGTGAAGGATGTGAGCGTTTGTGCCGCTGTCCACGGCCAGCAGGAAGGTCTCATCCGGCGTCAGGTACAGCCTGTCCGCCTGGGAGGGGGCGCGGAGGGGGGCGCGGAAAGGGGATGTGCAAGGGTGGAGAAGAGGGAGCGAGGGTGTGAAGGATGTGAGCGTTTGTGCCGCTGTCCACGGCCAGCAGGAAGGTCTCATCCGGCGTCAGGTACAGCCTGTCCGCCTGGGAAGGGGGAAGGAGGTAGGCGCGGAGGGGGGCAGGGATGCGATGGGAGGGTAATGTGAGCGATGGATGACACCCGCGCTTCACCCCTCCCCTGTCTCTCCAGCTCGCCTTCCCCCTCCCGCAGCCACATCTCCTCCCCCTTTCCGCGCTTCCCCCATCGCTCCTCTCTCGCCTTGACATCACGTCGCACGAACGTCCCCGCACATAAAAACTCCCGCATGGGGTATCTTGTCGTTTCCGCGCGGGGCACCTAGAAACTTTCTCGCAGCGCACCGGGAATTTACCGTAAGGTTACCGCATTTGGCGCACCTTGAAGTTGAGGTACCCCACGGGCACGCTGTCGTCGCCGGCGATCTCGACGATGCCCGGTTCGGGCGCGTTAGGGTCGGGCGGGCTGCCCGCCTTGGCGCACGACTACGCGCGCCGATTCACCGCCGAATACAACGCCTCGCGCGTCGCTGGGGGGAGGGGTGGGGGAGTTGACGGGAGTGTCATCTCACGAGGCCCACAGATGGGTGCGAACGGTAAAGTGCGAACGCGGCAGCGTGCGAACGAGCTGCGCGCATGGCTGGCAACTCACCGGGGCAGTAGATGGGCGTGTCGGGCGGCAGCCAGGGCTGGGACTGCAGCATGGCCTGGGTGAAGTCGAGGAACGGCACGTCGGACGACTGCGTGAACAGGTTCAGCGAGAACACGCCCGGCATCTGCGACGCCGTCTGGAACGCCTTGCCGTTCAGCGCTGCGGAAGATTAGACGGGTGCGGAGATGCGGGGATGGGAATGGACGGGGATGGGCAGGAGTGGGGATGGTTGGGAAAGAGTGGGGGGGTGGGCAGCAAAGGGTGGCGAGGTTCAGCGTGAACACTCCCGGCATCTCGCAGGGAGGTTGATAAGGAGGCCGGGAGTGCGATGCGGTGGAAGGGGCGCTCACGGCGGGGTGGCCAGGGAAGTGTGCACAGAGGACAAGGCGAGCAACACAGCGCACAAGGGGGGAGCGGAAGGGAGCGGCACGCGCGGGGAGCGGCGAGCGCGGGGAGCGGGGCGTACCCGAGTCGGCGAGGAGGCGGCCGTAACCCGCCTCGGCGAACTCGGAGGAGAAGCGCGCGCGCTGCAAGGTGTACGGCGGCGCCGCGGAAATGACGGCGAAGGTGCCGTTGACATCCGCGTGGGCAAACACGCTTCCCTGCAAATGTGATTGTATCGAGGGGGAGAGACATCGGTTGCCTCTTTTGAATTGCAACTCATGGTTTGACGTTTGCAGGCCGGTTGGGAGTAACAGTTTGATCGCACTCTTGTCCTTTACTCCCCAGCTTACTCGTGTTCTGAGCTTATCACAAGTAAGCACGGTGGCAGACACATTGAATCCCTGACGAACTTTCGCCCATCACGGTAACCACTGTTGACCTTCACTTATGAAAAGCCGATCCCCACCACGGCCCACGCCACGTCAGCACTCACCACTTCAGGCACGAAGACGATGTCGTTGGGGATGTCGGGCACGGCGACGGACGCTGCGACGCTCTGCGACGACGTGTTGACGACGAGCACCATGTCCGACAGCCCCGGCAGTCGCAGCGGCGTGGGCTGCTGGAAGCTGGCGGTGATGAAAATGGTCTGCTGGTCGATGCCCGTCGTGTGCCGGTTCCATGTGCCTCTGCGGAGGGGAGGGGAGGGGGCTCAGCGGGCAAGGTGAGTGGGGGGGGGGGGGGGGGGGAAGGAGAGGGGGCGGGGCGTGGAAGGGGAGGATGGGGCGACGGAGAGGGGCGGGGGAAGGGAGGGGGTGGGAATGCGGGGGATTATGAAAGAGTGGTCGCTCGATATCGAATTGGCATTTGATGGCTAGAACGAGGGTTGGCGACGGGCTCTTGTCGTACTGCAAGACGCGCAATTTATGCAGTTTTAACTCTACATTGAACTATACAACGCTCCCCGCACGTCTCGCAGATCGAGTCGGTGGTTACTAATTGACGCGAGGAGGCACGGCGCTTACTGCATGGGGTGGCCGGGGCAGGAGTTGGGGAAGGGCGCGGGGGCGCCTTGCGACGTCTGGTTGATCTTCGTTACCACCTTCTGCGACACTGGGTCCACCACCACAATCTGTCGCACACGAGGGAAGCACGAGGCGGACGGTTGGCACGGAGTAAGTATGGTGAAGAGTGGCCGGCACAAGCGGATAGAGTGTGACTACGGCGAACAAAGTTAGTCATCGGCTGCACGGTGTGTGGGGCTTTGCGTCCGTTGCTAAGGGGAAGTGCGGCAACGGATATACTGAGTTTTATTCGGCGCGAATCTGTGCTATGCGACAGCAGTTAGCTCAAAACAATCCAGCGCACCGGTGCGTACTAACCTGCCCGGACATGAAGAAATAGAAGAGGCCGGGTCGCTGTGGATCGGGAAGAGTGACGTCAGCACGACTTAGCGAGCAGAGCGACGCGAGCACGACTACAGCAGATAGGCATAGTTGCCACGGCACCCGCGGAGCCATGTTTTTCCAGGAGCTTTGAGCGACAAGCTAAGGTCGATGGTAAGTCACTGTAGGGAGGTTATACCAGTTCAACCTATCTGGCCTCCTATAACGATACCTACAAGAAAAGAAGCCTTCGAACAGAAACGAAATCTAGGACGGTAAACGAGGTGAGACGTCCACACTGTTTCTCACAGATTCAGTGGTGCCTTAGGCGGGAAGACGAGAAGAAGCGCGTAGACTTGAGGGACGCTGCTACCAGTGAGCGACTCTAGTCGTGAAGCAAAGCACGAACTGCTTGCTCGAACCACCAGAGCTGGGGGCATTCTCACACTCGGCTTGTGGTTGGGGGCTGGATGGGAATTGCGTGCGGCGCAGGTCCCTCCACAAACAGACCTCGTCGGTGGAAGGAGTACCGCGACGCGAATGTCCAATTCCTGGATGAGCGGCGCGGTACGATACGTGAGTTTTTTGTAGCGAAGGGACTCCGATCACTGGTCAAGCAGGCTCGTTACTGTGGCATCATGTTGATGTGGCGAGGCGCTTTTGCGTTGAAGAACCACCTTCATTGCCATGTCAGCTGACCCAGGGCAGCCAGATCATCACCCCTAGAGTCCCACGACGCGCAAATTTGGTGGCAGCTCCGCCATTGACATGCCAACACCAGCACTTCTGGAGCGCCGCAGCGCGCAATCCGCAACAGAGCCTGCGCCTGAACGGCGCAGAGGCGGATTTCGGACACCAGCAGCGCGCGGATGGTCGGCCGAAAGCACATTTTGCTCACTGCAGCCGCCTGTGTGCAGCGCACCAGCAGCAAAGTGGCGCAAAATTGTTTTGCATCACGCGCAACTCCTTCCAAGCCATATCCCATGCATGTTCCGCCCCAGCCCGCCTTTGCACCTCGTTGAGCCCCATCGTTGAGCAATCACTTCACTTCTTCATTCCTTCGACACTAGTTCGATGTCTACGCTATTCTGACAGTCCTTACGAGCACGTATATTCGGACACCCATGTGAAGTATACATCCTGAAGTTGTATAACCCTTAGACTTCTTGTTATCGGTAAAGTCTGACTGCAAAAACCGAAGAGGATGGCGTCTCGAGAGGTCATGCGCACCGCGTCGTTGCTCTTCGGTTTGGTGTGTCTCTGCCGTCTGGTTCACGCCGACGTGGTGGCGAGCATGAGTCGCGGAATCTTCTACGCATTCGCGGACGGCCAGGCAAGTGTCACCTCACGTGATGGGATGCCTGGCATGCGTACAAGTTGTTAGAAAACTACTGCGACGCGTCACGACGTTGACAGCATAAAGACGGGTTGTTTTCTCACTCGAATAACTCGAATAAAAAGTTAGTGGCGCTACACTTACAGGCTGCAAGCTTGACTGTTGTCGTCGCGATAAAGTTTGAGTCCGAACAAATGCTGGAGAGCGGGAAAGCGCGAGAGGTCGAGAGGGAGAGGGCGGTGCGGGCGAGCGGTGGGTCGGTAGTTCACTGCTGGTGATGGATTCTATAGGCATCTCAGGATATGTGCATTCAACGGCGTGACGGCAACCACGTATCGTCGCTTCTCCATTCACGTCTTCCCTCCCCATTCCTGCCTACCTGCCCTCCCTGGCTGCCCAATCACGTGACGCCAGGTGGTGCTGATCGACCCGACGAAAGGCAGCCCGCTAGCTTCATTGCGCGCGTTCAAGGGGCCATCAGGGCACGTGCCCTTCCCCAACAAGTGCCCCGGACACCCCTTTAGGTACGGCACAACCCCTCAGGTACGGTGCAAATCTTCAGGTGCGATCCATACCTAGATGCACGGTTCTGACTGACCATTCTATGTCAGCAAATCCCACAGGAGTTCCAGTCTCCGCCGTCCTCCGCATCCGCGCACGTCCCTGCTGTGCACGAACATTTCTTGAATCCCTGGACGTGACTGCGCTCCTTCCCCATCCTTCCCCCTCCTTTCTCCTCCTTCCCCCTCGTTTCCTTTCCACGTGCTGCGATCAGGGGCGAGTGGCGGAGCGTGGCGTTTGGCCCAGCGCAGCGCACGCTGCTGGCCGCGGCGAGCTACAGCACGACGGGCGCGCTTCGCCTGCCGGAACTCACGGACGCGCTCCACGTGTTCGACACGGTCGCAGCGGACGTCACGGCGCGAGTGCCGCTGAACAACACGCCGGACAGCGTCTACTTCGTTCCCCTCGCTGTAAGCACAACTTCCCCCCGCTCGGCGAACGCGTAGCGCCTTCCCCCGTCCATAACCAGAGCCCTGCTAGTCCCGTCCAACCACCCACCGCACCTCACCGACCCTCCCCATCCCCCCGTCTATCCATCCTCCGCACACTTTCCTCCCCGCTCCTTCCTCCCCACTCCCCAGAACGAGGTGTGGGTGCACGCGGCCGACGTGGCGGACCGCTATTCCTTCTCCATTCTGTCGGCGCAGCCGCCGTACGCGGAGGTGCACAGCCAGGGCATCAACACCATGCTCCCCGCGGGACGCGCGCGCCTGCTGCAGAGTCCCAGTGAGTCCCTTCCCCCAGCATCCCTTTCCCTTTATACCTCCAATCACACCTTCCCTCAACCACACCTGCCCGCACACGTGGGTGATCTCGACTTGCCTCGGGATTGCCCACATCCCCCTCGCCTTCCCTCCTTACTCCTTTCCCCCTTCCTCATTTCCCCCTTGTCCTCGGCGTAAGCGCAGATCTGGGAACGCGCGGCTATCTGACGACCTCGGGATCATCGGGGGTGTACACAGTCGACCTCGCGCGCCCCTCTACCGCGCCCGCGCTCTTCCTTTCCTTCCAAGAAGCTGCCGCCGTCTCACAGCGCGCCTGCCCCGGCGCGCTTTCCAGCGCGTATGCGCGCGTGCTGCGCCACACATTTGTCTCCTGCGCGCTTCCGCCCTCCGCCTCCCCCGTCTCCCCTGCTGACGGCGGAATCGGGATCGGCGTGAGCGAGGCCGGCGCGGGCGCACGGAAGGCGAGCGCGGGGGAAGGATTGGCGGGAGCGGGGAAACTGGCGACGGTGCAGATCGACGCGCGCACGAACCTGATCGTGGGCGTCTGGCCGTTCGCTGTAAGCCCATGGGGAGAGAAATATGCGCGGGGGTTTGTTGTACAAGCGGGGTTATCGAGTAAAGCGCGCGAGTTTGGCAGAGTGAAAGTGGATGGGGTGTGGGGAGAAGAGGGAGGTCGTGCGGAGAAGAAACGGAAACGAATTAGGAGCAGTGGTTGCATGCGGCCGAATGGAGTAGCCCGTTCTAGATCCCATTCTCGCCCCCTACCTCATCTCCCTACCTTCCCTCCCACTTACCACCCTCCACCTCCTCTCCCCCCTCCCTCCCCCACCTCGCGCCCACCTCCTCCCCCACACCTCCTCCCACCCCCGCCATCCGCGCGCAGGGCGAGCTGTACATGGCGCCGGACGAGAGCTTCCTCTTCGTGCTGGATGCGACAAACAAGGCCATCCACCTGCTGCAGCTGAGTGCCGTCCAGCCGCCGCCCTCGCAGCCCAACGGGCAGCCGCAGCCCACGCCGCGGCCGCGCCCCAACGTGACAGCGTGGCAGCCGCTGACGTTCAACGTCGACTACACGCCGCTCAGGATGGTCTTCACTCCCAAGGTGAGATCCACGTGGCACTTTTGCCAGACTCGTACTTGCCCCTGCCTATATTCACTTCTCACGACCTTCGAGCTCCTCCGTCCCACATCCGCCTTTCCCCGTCCCCTTCCCCTTCTACCGCTTGTTTCCCCTTTCACCTGCACTAACAGTGACCGCTTCCTCTTTCCCCGTCCCGCTGCGCCCCCCTAGAGCCTAGTGCGCACCACCGCGTTCGTTGATCCCTGCCCACCCCCACCGCCCGCCGCCCATCCCTCAAATTCGCATTCTCCCCCACCTGGTGCACATTGACATGCCCTCCTCTTCTTCACCCCCCACTCACCCCGTCCACACTGTTCCCCCATCACACTCCTTTCCCTCACAGCCGCCGCACTACCTGGTGTACATAAGTGTGGCGGAGGGCGGCGTGATAGGGCGGCTGGACATGCAGCAGCTGATGCAGTGCGGCAGCGGGTGCTCGCAGGGCAACATGCAGTCCTTCGTGCAGTTCGAGCAGCAGATGGGCGAAAACGTGAGTAGCTACACTTTGTAAATGTATATACTTGCACATACATGTAATTAGCATGCAAGTGGGTGTTGTTGATGAGCATCCCATTCATCTCAAACCTTCATTTCCCTCTATTTCTCCGTTCTCCTCTAATCCTCCCCCAGTCACCCCCAAGAGGTGGGCTCGTGCTCTCGCGGCCCGTGGCAGCAGGTGGGGGCTATGTGTGCCAGGTGGCGGCGTACGATCGCAGCATAGTATGCTTGGAGGAGGCCACGGGCCAGAAGACGCCCTATGCCAACATCAGCGATGTGCAGCACTTGATGTGAGTGCCGCCAATGCACCCACTTTCCCAGCATACACCTCCTTTTCCCAGCACTTGGTGACCATTTGTTTATCTTGGTGCAGCCATTGCACCCATCTGTTTGTTCACCGCTTTCTGTCTCCTCTTCACCCTTTTCTCCCCGCAGATTCGTCCCCGGTGACTATATGGGATCTCCTACGTCAACTGCGTTGAACACCAGCATTGATTGCGCCACTATCCCCAGAGACATCAGTGTGCCACCATCTCCGCCTCCTCCATCTTCAGAGCCCAAGGCGGCAATGAGAAATCTTATTCTCGGATCTCTTTGGCATATAGCGATGATTAGCCTTGCGCTAGCTTGCTTAGCATGATTTGTAGTTTATTATCACAGTGGTGGTAGGAAATAAGTATTGCTGTTCTATTGTGTAGTATTTTGTCTTGGTTGCGCATAACGCGAATTTTCTGCAGTTCTCGGATATCACCCAACCAGATTCTCGAGGTCCTTTCCTCGGAAACTCCAACATCTCACGTCATCTCCGTTGCCACACCGCGTATGTCACCACGTTGGAAGTTGGGTTGGAACTCCTCGGTGTGACCGCGCCTCGTTCACGATGACAGTCGTTCGACGAGGCTCGAGCCTTCCACACCGACGCGATAAATCTCAAGCTTGTTTCTACCAGCCTGCGCTTCGCCGGTGTCGCAGATTCGATCCGTCCGACGTTATCACTCCGACGCTCAGCTGCGTGACCGTCGCCGCCTCGTTCTCGCGCTCACCGAGCACGGCCTGCGCACCCCGCGCGCGTCCTCGTCATTCGTTATACCTCTGCGTTATGGCAGCTGATTTTCTCATGCCGGCGCGCCCTTTCCTCGCTGTCCTTCCAAGCATTCGACGTCGAGCATTCGCGCTCGTTCGGGTTCTCGTACCCTTCTCTCATAGCCTATCAAGCGGCTGGTCATGGCTCCCGCAGAGGGCGAGGGTAACTGCGTGGGGTACGCGGCGCGCGACGCGAGCGGGGAGCTGGCGCCGTGGAGGTTCCATCGGCGGGAGGTGGGGCCCAGGGACGTGAAGATCCGCATCACTCACTGCGGCGTCTGCCACAGCGACGTGCACTTCACCCGCAACGACTGGGGCTACTCGCTGTACCCCATGGTCCCCGGGTGTAACACCTCGCTACCCACTGGGTCAAAACGAGGGTGTTATTTGGCGCAGCGGAGTGCCCTTAACACAGCCCACAGGCGTTACACTCGTCCCCCCCTGGTGCCAACGTCCCCGTTGGCCCTGGACTTCAGGAAGTCGGCCCCCTGCCGCTGGGACCTAGATTTCGCAGTGCTGCTGGCTGCGATTTCGCTGGTTGCTCAGGCCAGCGGAGGATCGTTCGCTGGGTTCGAGCTGGTTACAACCGCACTTCAGTTCTCGCCAAAGGCGGAAAGTGTGGTCCAGCCGGGATTCGAACCCTAGGCTCTGATACCAAATGTAACACCTCGCTACCCACTGGGTCAAAACGAGGGTGTTATTTGGCGCAGCGGAGTGCCCTTAACACAGCCCACAGGCGTTACACTGGGTGAGCTCATATACCCGCTCTTCTCCAAGTCGTTGCTATTCCTCTCGCGTTGCTGCCTTCCCCGCGATCTCCTCTTGCTGCCAACATCTTCCGTCTCACCAGCCGCATGACTCCCATCCCACCTTCGGTCCACCTGAAACTTGAAGTCCACCCAACGTGTCTTTTCGTTCCATCCTATGGCTGCCTATCGTTACAGTCACGAGATCGTGGAGGTGGTGGAGGAGGTGGGAGCGCAAGTGAGCAAGGTGGCAGTGGAGCAGCGGGTGGGCGTGATGGGCATAATGGGGTCGTGCGGTGAGTGTGAGGCGTGCAGGCAGCACGAGGAGCAGTTCTGCGCCAACTGCCTCTTCACCTCCAACTCCGTGGACCCTCACTCGCCATCTGGCGAGGCCACCTATGGTGGCTACTCCTCCTTCATCGTTTGCGATGAACAGTACGTCGCTCTGCTCTGTTGTGTAACCATGTTACTTGCCCATTTTATTTTAGCCAGGTGTTTATCATTGTTTAAACATGTCCGTCAATCATGCTCTTCTCACAGAGTGGACGCACTCATTCCCTCTTTTCTTCTACACATGCCATGCCACCCTGTTGGTCCTCTCACAAACCTGTCCTCTGCAGTTTCTTACATATTTTTCTTATCTTGCCGTCTCGTTTCCGCTTTCCCCAACCTTCCCCACCAGCTTCGTCCTCTCCATTCCTGCTGAGCTGGCATCTGACGTGGCAGCGCCCCTCCTGTGCGCTGGCACAACAGTCTACTCGCCCATGATGCATTACGGTGCCAACAAGCCCGGCATGCGCCTGGGGGTGGCGGGGCTGGGCGGGCTGGGCCACGTGGCAGTGCAGATGGGGCGGGCGTTTGGCATGCACGTCACTGTGCTGAGCATACAGCCACACCAAGAGAGGGACGCCAGGGAGCTGTTTGGGGCGGACAGGTTCATTCTCACCACGGATGCTGCTGCCATGCAGGTGGGCTTGTTCTGGGATGTGGTGATTCTCGCGTGATGACACTGCTTGGCTTAAAAAAAAAGGGGTCTCACACCTTCAGTTCCCTTGTTTTAGTTATCTTTGCCCAAGAATCCACCCCCAACCTTCCCGGGTGCTTCCTGTTTGTCCGTGCAGGCGGCAGCGGGCTCACTGGATGTGATAATGAACACGGTGCCGGTGCAGCTTGAGCTGGGGCCCTACCTCCATCTCCTCTCTTTCTGTTTCCTGTTTGTCCGTGCAGGCAGCAGCGGGCTCACTGGACGTGGTTATCGACACGGTGCCGGTGCAGCATGACCTGGGGCCCTACCTCGACCTCCTCACATTCAACGGGAAGCTGCTCGTTCTCGGCATTCCTGTAGCCCCCTTCACTCTCCACGCCAGCCAGCTTGTGTTTGGTAATCACACTGCTGCTTGACAAACCTAAGTATCTGAGTGACGTTTGTGTTGCTTGAAGCAGCAACATCAGCTCTAGGCTGAGTTCAGTCCGTGGTTGGCTGGCTTGTTTCTTGCATTCTGTTGCACGCTTTCACGGAACTGATTTGGCTGGCTCATTGTAGTTGCCTGTCTTCCATTTCTGTGCTCTGTTGCTACCTGTCTTCCTGGTGGCATGACAGGGCGCAAGATGGTTGCAGGTGGGTTGATTGGAGGAATCAAGGAGACTCAAGAGATGCTGGAGTTCTGTGCAAAGAAGGGTGTGGCGCCCATAGTGGAGAGCCTTGATATCAAGGACATCAACAAGGCACACGAACGTTTGCTGAAGGTAACATAATGGCAGGAATACATTCACACTGTGCAAGATAGGTGTCGCCTTTCTTTCCGATGCTACCTAATACGGTACTTGTAATTGCTATTGTTTGTTGGGCTTGATTGGTTTTGCAGGGTGACGTGAGATACCGTTTCGTGATTGATGTTGAGAACAGCCTGAAGGATGTGACTAACGGCCACAGATGATGTGTGCTTTGGTTCCAGCCTCCCTTGCATGGTGCCTGTTGCAGTGCAGTCTTACCGGTACTTGTGTTCCTACAGGTACCATACCGTATTACCCCGGACCCGGATAGAAGCGCAGGTGCGCTTCTAATAAAACAGTGTTTTTTAGGGGGGTGCGCTTCTAATTGAGTCATTTGTATAAGCGCATGCGCCTGTAATAGGAAAAAAATAAAATTCACTGTTGAACATACCAAATTGAAGCCCGCAATAAGGCGAACTCAACCGACCATGCAACACGTGGGATCGTGCATGGTTTTCAGGCAAAAACAGCAGCGGTTCGGTTTTCCACCGCACAATTTTGTCTAGAAACATCGAACGTGACAGCAGTGACGGGGATGTTGCCGTGCGGCCCAATCACAGTCGCATGCGCTGCGTGGCATCTGCATTTCTTCCGAACCCTCTCGAAGGGTGAGAAAGATTCCCTGCCAGCGCAGCGTAGATGCTGCCACGCAGGTTCCTCTACGGGGGTAGGCGGGGGTTTCCCGCCTGTCATTGACGAGGACCCCGAGGCGCCAACCTTACAGGGTCCCCATCAATGCCCATTTGTGCAGCTTCATTCTCATTTCTTTCATTCACACTCCAGTCTAGGCCGCCTGGCTGGCGAAGCCATGGCGGAATTCAGCGGGACGCATTTCCTCTTCAAGAAAAAACCTGCTCGCCCGTGGCGACTTACCGAAGACGGGTGGTATACCCGTGAGCCAGCAGTGCCTCCAGTGCCACCTGAACCCCCTGCGCCCCCTGCTCCTCCTGCTCCTCCTGCACCTCCTGCTCCTCCTGCTCCTCCCGCTCCTCCCGCTCCTCCGAATCCGCCTGATGTCGGTGCGAGTGCTCACCAACGGCCCGTGCTCTCGCTGTATTTACCAGCCACTTTCGACGAGTGGCTGTCTGAACCTGACACACCCAAGGCCCCCGATGTGTTCATCCAGGCTCCGCCGCCTGCACCACGGTGGGGACAGCCTCAAGCCTGCACGTGGGACGAGTCGGCTGTGGGCGCCGACGATGACGTGGCGGCCGATAAACAAAACACCGGCGACGGCGACGGTGGAGGCGACGGTGAAGCGGGCGCCGAGGAGGACGTGTTCCCAGATCGTGCATCTGCCGAGGACGATGACGGTGTGGAGTCATGGTGGCGCGACGCAACGCGCGAGAAGATGCCGATACCGACGTATCCGCCGATTAACAAAAAACGACCCCACCCCTCCTCCGAGAACCGAGATGCCCGCCCCCCCTCCCCCAGGCACAAGCCGTCTCAACATAAGCGGCAGTCCTACACCGCCCAGGAGAAACTAAGGTGGCTCGTGCGGCTGGAGCTGGCGGCATCGATAAGCGAGGTCGCCCGGGAGTCCGGCATACACCGCAAGTGTCTGACGGAGTGGAAAACCCAAGCGGAGGAGCTCAAGGCTTCACACGCCGCACGGTGTCGACTTCATGGGCGCGGGAGGTCTTCCTGGTACAGACCCATGGAGTTGAAGGTGTACGCACAACTCCTTGACTGGCGACGCCGCGGTGTTGCAGTTTCGGTCGGTCGGCTTCAAGATTGGTCACGCGAGGTGATGAAGGTGTTGTTCCCGGAAGTCAAGTGGAAAGGGAGTCAGCGGTGGTCGGAGCGGTTCCGCAAGCGGTGGAACCTCAGCGTGCTCATGAAAACTAAGGTGGCGCAGAAAACACAGGAACGTAAGTGCCTCTTTTCCCGGTTACCGCGCGCGAATTCACATGGTTTATTAGTGTTTCCTCCTGTTTGAACATGATTATCTTTCTGCGGTCCTCATCCTTGTTCCTATATTTTCTTCCCCCCCGTGCGCAGACGTGGCGACGCAGTGCAAGGAATTCTGGCAGTTTGTCCGCGACGCACGCAGCGAGTACGGGATCGACAATCGGTACATAATCAACGCCGACCAGACCCCCTTATGGTTGGAGATGCCTGCCACTACCACCGTGGAGCAGACGGGCGTGAAGTCGGTGCCCATCCGTAGCGGTGGTTACCAGAAGGAACGAGTCACCGTGATGCTGGCGTGCACGGCGACGGGCGAGAAGTTGAAGCCGTGGGTGTTCTTCAATTGCAAAACACTTCCGAAGGGCGACTTTCCCAACGGTAAGTACATCTTCTTGTGCTTGATTTTAACATGAGTAACAATAGCGTAAAGAATTCTAACCGCCGGTTGCTTGTGTGCAGATGTCGTGGTCGGCTGCCAAGCAAACGGGTGGATGGAGGCCACGGGCGTCATCCAGTGGCTCGATGAGGGTGAGAAGAAACAAGGAATGAATGAACTATGAATGAATTGGGTACAAGTAATAACCCTAATTGGGTTGTACCCCTTATGGGCTACCCCACTATAGCCTACACAATATGCATGAGCTATAATGTTCTGACACACCCCCATAGGCAAAGTGGGGGAGAACATGGGGTCACAAGACAAGTCAAGTAAAGCAAAGCAAAGCAAGCTCAGGGTGGATCACAAAGTCACCACACATTCCGAGCACAAGTTCAAGGCCACAAGGCCAGTTCACATGCAGGAGTACATATATATAAAAAGGCTAGACAAGCAAGAGCAGGTATATATATATGTAACAGTACAAGCACGGTCAAGAGGTGAGCAAGTGAGGCAAGGTAGGCACAAGGCCCAGCTGAGTACAGAAGCGCTGATGGTCACAAGGCGCAAGCGCCTTGGTGAAGATATCAGCAGTGTTGGCCTCAGAGGCCACGTACGCAAGACGCAGCTGACCACGCTGCTGCAGCTCACGAGCAAGAAAGTAGCGGAGAGCAATGTGCTTCGTTCTGTGCTCCAGTCGCTGCTCCCGACACAAGGCCAGCATGGCCTTGTTGTCTACGTACAGCACTGGAGGAGAACGAGGCGGCTCTCCGAGGTCAGTCAGCAGGTAGGTGAGCCAGCGAAGCTCCTGTGCAGCCATGGCTCCTGCGTAGATCTCAGCCTCACAACTGGAGCCGAGAACAGAAGACGAGCGAGTAGCCCGCCACGAAACAGAGCCGGAACCAAGGCTGAAGGTGTAACCCTGTGACGACCGCTGCGTAGCCTGGTCGTCAGCCCAAGAAGCGTCTGCGTGCCCAGTAAGGACCACTGGACTCTGCCCTCCAAGCACAAGCCCCATGCCCGACGTACTGCACAAGTAGCGCAACACCCTCTTCGCTGCAGCCATGTGCTCCGGTCTGTGTCTCCCAGGAGCAACATAGCGTGCGAGAATGCTAAGAGGGTATGCAAGGTCGGGTCGCGTGCAGGTCATCAGGTACATGAGGCAGCCAACAAGCTCTGGGTACGGGCCACTCGACTCTACGGACTCATCCGAAGGCAGAGCTGAGAGCGAGTGGCGAGTAGGCAGAGGAGTGGCCTGAGGCGAGGAGTACGTGAAGCCGAAGCGCTGAAGGACCTGCTGCACCATGTGTGACTGAGTCAGGGTAATGGTGCGGCGTGCTCTGTCCCGAGTGATCTGCAAGCCAAGGTAGCTGCGCAGTTCACCCAGGTCAGTGCACGTGTGTCTCTTCTGCAGCTCGGACTTCACGTGGGCGAGTCCAGCAGTGTCAGCTGTGGCAAAGACCAAGTCGTCGACGTACACGAGGATGTAGAACGGCGGCAAAGAAGTGTCGGTGCGTAGAAACAGCGACGGGTCGGCAGTAGAGGGAGCAAACCCAAGAGCCGCAAGTGTAGTCCTCAGTGTGTCGTGCCACTCACGCGGTGCCTGGCGGAGACCGTAGACTGGCCGCCGTAGGCTCCACTGGGTGCCAGGAGGAAAAGACCCAGTGAAACCAGGTGGGCGACGCAGCCAGATCTCCTCGTGCAGGCTGCCCTGCAAGAAAGCAGTGCTGAAGTCAAGAGAGTGTAGCTCGTAGTCACGGTGAGCAGCTACGTGCAGCAGTACCCGAAGAGTGGTCATCTTCGGGGTGGGAGAGAAGGTCTGAAAGTAGTCAACTCCCTGCCGCTGACTGAAGCCTCGAGCCACGTAACGCGCCTTGAAGGAAGGCGGAGAACCCGGCGGCCGCTTCACCCTGAAAATCCACATGCCACTGACGATGTTCGCCCCAGGAGGGGGAACAGCGTCAACGTAGGTGCCTGTGGACTTCCAGGAAGCCATCTCTGCGTCCATAGCTGCCTGCCACTGAGAGGAGTAGGGACCCTCTATCGCCTCCGCGTAAGAGCGCGGAGTCGGGATGTCAAGTGCATCCGGGTCTCCCTCAGGGGTAAGCAGTACGGACACGAGATGAGGTGAAGCAGCGGCCAAGCACTGGAACTCCTCCTGCCTGTCCTCAAGGACGTCCGTGCCAAGGGCACACTCACCCCCGACGGACGGAGGACAGACAGACTCAGACTCAGCAACAAGACTGGCGACATAGTCTAGGCGACAGCGAGCAGCAAAGTCGACGAGCTCAGCAACTAGGGCAGACGCAGCAGTGGACTCTAAGGAAGGGTCAGTGACAACAGTAGCAAGGAGACGCGTGACAGTAGGACTGGCAGCACGAAGAGAGTCCGACTCCGGGTCGGCAAGAGCAGGAAGAGAAGACTCAGGAGGAGAAGGCAAAGGGGCACGCAGAGGAGCAGTGGACGGACGCAGAGACATCCGGTGCGTGCCAGGGACAGGAGGAGGACGCTGACGCGAACCACGACCACTAGTGCGAGCAGCACGGACAGGCGACGCAGGGCGAGACGCAGGCTCACGACGCTCAGCAAGACCTCCAGTAGGACCAGTGTAGGGAGACGGAGCAGGCAGTGGGGAGGCCGGCTGTAACTGTAACTGCGACGGGACAGGCTGTGGACACTCTAAGGGAGGAGG